ACACTTGTATATAATTTGACATTATACGTTATATATAAAAAATTTATTCCTGGACTGAATTTGAGCAATATAATTGTCGCAGTAACGACGCTGCGTCTCAATGATCATTTCCATTCGAGGGCGGCAATCGATGGCCGCAGAATCGCGCTAATTAGAGCGGCCGCGATGCGGGCCATCCATTCGTAACGCGATATGGATAACTATCTGGCGAGCGGGCGTGTGGGGTACATCGTGCAATACGCGGGCCCCCGACACGTGCACACACCCCGTTTATAGCGCGCTAGTTAAATTTCGATACGCCGTTACGCGCGGCTCGGGATAGATGAAACATGATGTTGTCGTTGCGTCGCCGCGCGCGGGCATAACGCGCGACAAATATTCCGCAAATAAAAGCCGGCGTTTCCTCCCCCTCCCCCGGGGGGTTCAGGTTCTACCCTCGTTATTTACAAAACGTCGCGCGCGCGGGGGCGGAAGGGGGATGGAAAAAGGGGTGGAGGTCGATGTATTCGAAGCGCGTTTTATTTCGTGCCACGCGCATGTGCGCTCTCTCTCTCTCTCTTTTTTTTTTTTTTTTCGTTTTCCTCTTTTTTTGCGCTTGTTTTACGCCACCGCTCGATTTTTTTTTTTTTTTTTTTTTTTTTCGTCCTTTTTGGTCGACGCTGGATTGCTCGGCAACTACCAATCAGGATCATCTGACAGGAAATACTCCGCGCGCCCGCCACTTGTGTCCGCGGCATCCTCGCCGCCCTTCCGCCTCTCATTTTTGCTTCCCTTCGTCTCTCGCCCCCGTCGACCACCCCCTTGTCCCACCACCCTCCGTTCTGCCGCCGCCGCCATCGCCATACGTTCACTGACCAATTTGTTCGATAAAAGCCCTCGACTGATTGGCCTGACAACGCGGCCACGGCTCTTTTTTCCGAGCGTGAAATTTACCGTGGTAACCAAGTCCCTTGTTGCACTTCCTCCTCCCCCTTCCCGCCCCCTCCCCCGTTTCCGGATCCTTTGCTTTTCAAGTTCCTCCGCTCGGTCGCTTAATACTCTTTTCTTCACTCCCGTCTTCGTCTTTTCCTTCTTTGTATTTTTGAGACAGTTCTGTGATTCGTGGCAAGCTTTGCGAATTAGTTGGCAGGGGGATGCGGTTCCTCTTACTCCTCGTGAGTAAGGATTCTGGGAAAGGAACGAGGAGACCTGAATTTCAGAGCTTTCCCCATTTGTTCCTCTTTGGAAGGAATTCGCAAATGATTAATTAAAAAATTGCACAATTTATTCTGTTGAATAAAATCCAATTCCAAAGCATCAAGATTCTCTATTTAAGATGGAGGATTGGATGAGCGATTTAAAGGATACGAGATCATCCAATGTTTAATTTTAAACATTTCATTCCGAATTAAACGTATTATATATTTTAGCGCAATTGATATCCCATTTACGGTACCCTTCTAATCGGAACTAGAGGCTTTGGTGTCCACTTGTTATCAATGATTCTCGCTTCCGACATTGATTCGAACGAGTCCGTAAAGCTCAAACTGCTTAATAGACCGGTATTTGGGCGAGGAAAGTGTAGCAGAATGGCTCTTAAATCAAACAAACACTGGGATTGAAGCTATCCCTATTTAGGATAAAGTCTTCATCCGATCTAGACGATTCCTCGAACCGATCGATTAGTGTAGACGATGTTTCCTGCAGACGACGTGTCTGCCTTGTATCTAAACGGCACAGTTTCGAACGTGAATGTCACAATTTATTCTGTTGAATAAAATCCAATTCCAAAGCGACAATAAAGAATCAAGATTCTCTATTTAAAATGGAGGATTGGAAGAGCCATTTAAAGGATACGAGATCATTCTTTAATAAAGAAATGTTTAATTTTAAACATTTCATTCCGAATTAAACGTGTTATATATTTTAGCGCAATTGATATCCCATTTGACGGTACCCTTTAATCGGAACTAGAGGCTTTGGTGTCCACTTGTTATCAATGATTCTCGCTTCCGACATTGATTCGAACGAGTCCGTAGAGCTCAAACTGCTTAAAGACCGGTATTTGGGCGAGGAAAGTGTAGCAGAATGGCTCTTAAATCAAACAAACACTGGGATTGAAGCTATCCCTATTTAGGATAAAGTCTTCATCCGATCTAGACGATTCCTCGAACCGATCGATTAGTGTAGACGATGTTTCCTGCAGACGACGTGTCTGCCTTGTATCTAAACGGCACAGTTTCGAACGTGAATGTCACAATTTATTCTGTTGAATAAAATCCAATTCCAAAGCGACAATAAAGAATCAAGATTCTCTATTTAAGATGGAGGATTGGATGAGCGATTTAAAGGATACGAGATCATCCTTTAACAAAGAAATGTTTAATTTTAAACATTTCATTCCGAATTAAACGTATTATATATTTTAGCGCAATTGATATCCCATTTAACGGTACCCTTCTAATCGGAACTAGAGGCTTTGGTGTCCACTTGTTATCAATGATTCTCGCTTCCGACATTGATTCGAACGAGTCCGTAGAGCTCAAACTGCTTAAAGGACCGGTATTTGGGCGAGGAAAGTGTAGCAGAATGGCTCTTAAATCAAACAAACACTGGGATTGAAGCTATCCTTATTTAGGATAACGTCTTCATCCGATCTAGATGATTCCTCGAACCGATCGATTAGTGTAGACGATGTTTCCTGCAGACGACGTGTCTGCCTTGTATCTAAACGGCACAGTTTCGAACGTGAATGTCACAATTTATTCTGTTGAATAAAATCCAATTCCAAAGCGTCGATAAAGAATCAAGATTCTTTATTTAAAATGGAGGATTGAAAGAGCGATTTAAAGGATACAAGATTATCCTTTAATAAAGAAATGTTTAATTTTAAACATTTCATTCCGAATTAAACGTGTTATATATTTTAGCGCAATTAATATGCCATTTGACGGCACCCTTCTAATATTTTGCGTGAAATATTTCTATTACAAACCGGGGAGAGAAAAGCTGCATTTTCAAAGGCACGAGCATGTTATCGAGATCATAAAATTGGAGTTGTCGGCCAATATGGCTTAGTGGAGCGGTACATTAGACACGTAAACATGTACTATCTGCTCATCGTAGCGGCAATCTGTCTTTCGACGTTGCCTCTCACTTTCGAGTTAATAGCTGGTAATAGCCGTCGAGAGCTAACATAACACGACCTCCCACGCATGAGTTACCGTCGATCGACGATATCATCCGACGCGATCCACTCGCCTACGCAAAGGGGATTTCGATTTTGCGCAATATACGCATTTCCCTGCCTTCGGCTTCATCGGAATTAGATTCGAATATGTATACATGTATATGGATTTTTTCACAAATTACTCTTGATTGCGAAGTCATTAATCAATGTCATTTGATATCTCGTTGCTAATCAAATCGCGAATTAAATTTTGTAAATTTAAAATTTCGTTCAAATAAATCCTGCTGCTTGAAAAATTCTCCGAAAAAAAAATAAAAAATTAATCCGTTTATCTGTTTACGAGTCTCTTAATTTGTTTAATTCTTCGATGCGTTAAGAAACTCGAGGATTAAAAGTCGCTTTAAATTTTTATTCTTGGAAGATTCGCGAATTAAAAATCGATTATAAACATTTTTTTAATCGGTTTTTCCCGCCTCTATTCTTGCGCTATCTCGTTCTTACTGATGTTTATTACCGATTCGCGATCGGCGATAAAATCGTAATCGACGTATTTTTTCTGGGATTGGCATCACGTCACTGTCGACTTAGGAATGAACGATTTATGAGGATTATTATCGACTGTAATGATTTTTATCAGTTGTATACTCGATTTCCTCACAAATTATTATCAAATCATTAAATTATCAGATATTGAAAATGAATTGATGGTTTTAACGTCAAGGTCGAGTTGTGCTTTTACAAAGACATGCTTCAATTGTATTGTGCTTGCGATTTTTGCGATCTTATTCACGATTATGATTAAAATACCGCAAATGGCATTTGGAAATTTGCATTTTTGAATGTTGAATGCGCATCTTTCTCTAAAATAATATTTAATTAATATTGCACGTAAACATATGTCATTTTATGATGTTACATAAAAAATGATCTGTACACAATTAATTGTATTTTTTTATTTATAAAAAAATATTCTAAAAACATTTACAGAGACATTATATGTACATAAAATATAATTTTTTAAATTTTATTATATATTTTCACAGAGAGAAATTTAAAATGAGATGTCATACACTTGTAATTAATCATTATCAATGATCAAAAATTTATTTGACATATTATTGATTTATATGCCGCTGTTTCCTGACTTTATATATATATTATTTTAAAGATTTATATAAATAATATCTTATCATAAAATAACAAACGAAATAAACTTGCTTGTGTTTTATAGTGATGATAATTATTGAGATCTTTACAGATATCGCGCGATTAATTGCTTGTATCGTTATTTAGCGCGGCGATCGTAAAAATATTATGCAATTAATTACATGCATCAGCATTTCACTTTTATGATAAGCCTAATTTGATCAGAATGATTTATGCTTAGAAATGATAAATGCTTAGAAAGTGTTCTGACATATCATATTTAGTCAGATTTATCCATTTATATTTAACAATTGTAAATACACATTTTTAATTAAAAAAAAAAGATTGTTATCTTTTTAAAAAAAATCCAAACAAAGTTATTGAATTATCCTAATAAACAATTTAACTTTTTTATTACAAATTTCATCCATATTATTATCAAATTAAATTCTTATTAAGTATATCCGCTCTTCTTTGAAAAATACATGAAATTTTCAAAAGCAATATTCAAGAAATTTCAAATAGCGTTATAAAAAAATTTTAATTTTCACGCAATGCGTCTCTTTTCCGCAATAGCTGCATGAATTTTGATGCGCGAGCCTAGATTAAGATAGTACAAAGATTAAGATATCCGAAGCGCAGGGGCCGTCGTAATTAATCAGATTAATGATGTGAATCCACTCACCGGCTAAATCCGCGGGCAATCTGGGATACAACATGCCGGTCCGGGCGAACCACTCGAGCTGAAGTGGATGGATGTGATGCTGCTGAGGATGAGGCCCGCCGGATTGGGGATGGCCGACCGGCTGACCCTCCTTGTGTATCGAGTGGAAGGCGCTGCCGCCGGCCGGATGATAGTACAATCCACTCGGATGGATAAGTGGTCCCGCGGGATGCAGCAGGATGCCCTGATTCTGCCTGACCACGGCCGCGCTCACCCCGTAAGGCCCGGTTGCGAGAGCCTGGTGGCCCAGGACGCCATTGCTCGTAGGATCCTCCGAGCCGGGAGATATTGGAGGGCTGGAAGCGGCGCTGCGACTCGCGTTGCTTCCAGGACTGGCGCTCCCGGTCCGCGTCGGATCCACGTCGACGGACGTGTCGTCCTCGACGTTCTCCAACCGGTCGTTCCGGTAGTTGCTGGTCCCCGTTTCCGGCCTGAACTGGTTCCGCTGGACAGACACGCCGGATTCGGCAGGGTGAAGACCGAGGACGGTGCCGCGATCGGTGGAGTGTCTCTCCCGAGCCTCCAGACCGGGCGACTCGGACTTGTGATGCTGAATAAAGGGATTTAAGGGGTTTCCCAGGGTGGTCCTTTGGTCCACGGGGCATCTGATGGCGCTGGGAGATTCTCGTTCCTGAATCCCGCTAAGATTCAGACTGTCGGATTGGCTTCTGGAGAACGCTTTCTGCCGATCGGCCGCCGACTGCTCGATTTCATTCTGCTTCGTGGCACGACCCAGAAGCGCGTCGATGCAGAAGGATGTCTTGCCGATGGAGCTGCTGTGTTGATTGGACGAGCTGAGGATGTAGTTTTGCGGCGACGACGTTCTTCCGGGAGAGCTTTCCGACTCGCGGCAACGATTCGTCGCTATTTCGTCGCTGAAACATTTTCTAGTAGGGTTTTCCGAGTCCTGGAAGAAAGCAGGATTCACGTGGTCCTTGGAGAAACGTTTGTTCCCGGCGTCGTCGTGGTACCTAATCACTCTGTCTTCCGTCACGTCCGGCGATCTAGCACCCACGAAACGCACTTCCTCAAGCGATCTCACTCGACTGTTCAGCGGCGATCTAGCGTCCTCCGATCTAGGCGAGGATCCGGAATCCTGGAGCCTCTGTTGAAGATTGTAGAGATGTCGCGGATGCTGATGCAAATCTTCCGAGACCATCTGCGCGTTGTAATGCATAGCTGCCATATCCTGCGATCACTGTAGATCTCTAACACATGCTTCCCGATGATATTGTCTTTCAATATCAACACTAATCGGAACTAGACGCTTTGGTGTCCACTTGTTATCAATGATTCTCGCTACCGACACTGATTCGAACGAGTCCGTGGAGCTCAAACTGCTTAAAGGACCGATAATTGAGCGAGTAAGGTGTAGCAGAATGGCTCTTAAATCAAACAAACACTGTGATTGAAGCTATCCCTATTTAGGATAAAGTCTCCATCCGATCTAGACGATTCCTCGAACCGATCGATTAGTGTAGACGATATTTCCTGCAGACGACGTGTCTGCCCTGTGTCTGAACGGCACAGTTTCTTCGCACAGTTTCGAACGTGAATGTCATCGGAGTGATCGGTAACCGATTCATAGATCGGCCCCTCGATCGTTCCTCGCGATTATGTCACAATCTTCACACGAGGCCGACGACACGAGCAGGCGGCTCGGCGTCGCATCGCAAAGTGACGTTGCGGATGACCGCGTGTCCGCCGAAAAAGCTTCCCCACTAGACGGAATCGTTGCAGCTGGCTCTGACTACGCCCATCGTGGATCGGGCGTGTCCGAGAGCTACACCCACCGGATCCTCGCGGCGGGAGCGAGACCGAGCGAGGCACTTCCGTTCGGATGTGACGGGGATGGTGATGCCACCCTAGACGGCGAACTTCCCCCCTTCGACCAATCAGAAGTCGTTCGCGGCACCGACGCGAGACAGAGACGCACCGATGCTCGCCACGTGACCGCGCTAGTCGGAAGAAGAGGCAAATAGGCGTGAAGATGTGTGGCGAGGGTGCGAGCGGATGGACGATTCCGCGGCGTCTTCTTGGGGATTCTTGATGCGCCTCGCGGTGGATATCGGAGACGGGGATTGTAATCGATATTATCGCGTCATTAATTTAACTGTAACTCGAGTCCGATGATTACCCACTGAGTCTGACTCGGTGAAACCGTTCGGCTAAAAGATGGTGGTAAAATTGGCCAAATTGTCAACGAGAGATATTTCGGGTTTTCTTCCCCGAGAGGAGGATAATGATAATCATCCCGCGTCACGTAATCTGCGATATGATAATTCGCGGTATTTTATATATCATCCACTGTCATTGAATTTGTCTTTCTAATGACTCCTACAATATTAAGAAAATAAAATAAAATTGAGGTTCCGGATTACGGGGACGCAAATCATCCGTAAATCGATCTTGTTGGAAACTATAAACGTATTTCTTCTAATCTTCTTCTCAAAATATCTTCCAGAAACTCAACCCTCCCAATTATTCTCAAATAAAACTCGATGATTGCTAATGATTCATTTCTTTATCTTTTGGAAATTTTCTTATTTTATAAATTAATATCACTGTGAAAAAAATGTGTTAACTTGACTAAACCTTTCAACTAAATTACTATTTTGTTAATTGAACGCATAATAGAATTTAAGTCAAATATATATTTAATACATTATATTTAATTTAAATATTTTGATATATTTAATAACAAAATAATATTTAGTTGAAAGGTTTAATCAAGTTAACAATTTTTTTCAGTGTATATTCCTAATTTCGACAGATTTTTTTGTTACATTTATCTTTCTTAGTTATTGACAACCCCATGTAGGCCCGGTTCCACACAAACGTCGGTTAACTTTAATCTCCGATTAAATTATATCTATATCGCTTTTTAGGTATATATGTGAAAAGAGACAAAGATATAGTTTAACCGGAGGTTAAAATTAACCGACGTTTGTGGAACCGGGCCGTGATGAATCATATATAAAAACAAAGAATAAATGTGTAAAATGTTTAAGTGTTCAGATGCTTTCACAATGTATCTACACACAATTTCTTAACATTATTATATCTGTCGATTATAACTTTTCATAGATAGATTAACTAAGTAATCCGAACTTGTGTAAATATACACATATCTAGTTGTTGGGATTACTTAAAGTATGCGATAATGTTGATTATCTAAAAAATGTAATCGAACAGAGATATACGTATTAGTAGATGTCCGTCTACACAGATAGCATTGCACAATACAATGAAGTATTATATCAATAATACATGTAGCGTTATCAGGCATCTAATGGTCACCTAATAGGTATCACACCCCGTATGTAATCGTCCCCTTTATCTGTTATTTCTCGTATCGACTAAACTCGTATCATACTAATATTTGACTTTCAGAGGGGGTGGAATAACGCGCCTGGTGTTAAGAAATACATATATCTCTTCAAAGTATTCCACGGTTTGTAATGCAATTGATTTCAACAATCACACACAGAACAAAAAATTATTATAAAATAAAACTTATAATAGATTAATTATATAGTAAAGTTAAAATGATAAAAAATATCTATTATTTGAATATTTCTATTTCATATTTCCATCATTTCTCTTCTATGAATATTCTTTTTATTATTATTGGATGCCCAAGGTTTGAATATACAATAATTATATATGATATAGAATTGTGGAAAAATTATTTAGGGGCGCAAAAGTGAATAATAATGCGATATAAATATGCATCGAAGGTATCGCAGACACTCGAGGCATCTAACATGTCGAAAAATGATGGATCACCTGCGTCGTGGTTCGCTACCACGAATGACCACGGTGCCTCGAAGGTAAATGGTCCGCTCTCCTCGTTTGCCCGTATGTAGCCAAATAAGAGACGAAAGAATGTTTGCTTAAGGGTCGAGGCACGTCCAGCACACTCACGGGATACTCGTTTTCACTCGTCTCTCGATACGTTTCTACGTACTCCCGTAGTAATGCTATCGCGCATTACAGTGTCGTGGAGCTGCTTCCTGAGCCGAGGCATTTATTTGGAAATTTTATTGCGACACCAGTTTGACCCACTTTTCGAAGAATTCGAGAAAATGGAGTTTGACATTTTTTTCAAGTTTTTCAAAGAACGAATCGTATCCCTGTTGCGCGGAATCCTTTATTTTATCAAATCTTTTCGGCCGAAATATAATTTCTATACATTAAATGTGAATGTTATTTCTATTTATTGCAAATCTCTTTTATTTTTATAAATAATAAAAATAACTCAAAAAATTGAGAATTTAGGTACATTTAAAAATATTAAAATGGCTATCGCAAAACATTATTTTACGTGATTATCTTACATGTCACTTTTTTCAATACTCTTTAATCACACCTACGTGCTATCGTGAGAAGAAATAGATTTATCGGATGATAATAATTTTGTAAAATTATTTTGAACTAAATTTTTTTATCCTAATTTTTATGTATTTTCTCTTTTTACTGTAAATAAATTCTAATGGTATCTGTACGCGATTACCGTTTCGAAATTATTTTGTAACACGAATCAATCCTTGAACCTGTACAGATTCTACGCCACTGACGACATATCAGGGTCCATGCAGGTAGTAAACATATATGTATATATCGTATTGTGGATCGCTGGCACGTACAAACAGGTAGCTTTCTGTCACCTTTGGTTACCGAGTAAACATCAAACGATTTTTAACCACCGATTATGCTCCGTCACGATAAGCGCGAGAGAATTCCTCCACTGTCCTCCACCATATCTTTATTCGATTGAACAAAACTCTGTTCAAGAATGCCCGTTAAAAACAAATTTTTGGGATCGTGTATTTTTAAAAAATATTATTCACAATCGGAAAATAATATTACGTTGCGAAAAATTGCGTTTTATTCACGATAAATATAATTATATGTGTGTCATTAACAGTGTTGCGCTTGGATAATTATAAAATTAGCTAGATAAAGATGAGATAAAAATATGTAAATTCATCTTAGATAAGATGAAGATGATTTTGTTTTAAATATATCTAATAATAGATAAAAAATAAAATTATACGGCGAGCTAGATAATTTTCCAGACAATAATTTTTAAAACTGCTTATGCTAAACACAGTTATAAAAAAATGTAAATTATAAAAAGGATATAAAAATATATGTATTCATATTTTTATTTATACATTTTTATCGCTTACTGCTTAAGTTCTACTATTTAAGTATTTTTATGTGCTATGATTCTAAATCAAAATTATCTGAAAATTATTCTAGATAATTTAGTAACGATACTTTTTTTTTCGTCTAAGATGCAGATATAACATTTATTTTTATATACAAATAAATATATTTTATAATATGTATATTATAATATAATAATATATATTTTTATTATCTATATAAAGATAAGATGACGCCAAAGTTTCATTTACATAATTTTATTTAGATAACAGCAAACACTGGTCATTAATTGAATTATTAAATTGTTCCAAGAATTTGAGTAAATGCCTTTTCCAGATAATAATTTTTAAAACTGCTTATGCTAAACACAGTTATAAAAAAATATAAATTATAAAATGGATATAAAAATATATGTATTCATATTTTTATTTATACATTTTTATCGCTTACTGCTTAAGTTCTACTATTTAAGTATTTTTATGTGCTATGATTCTAAATCAAAATTATCTAAAATTATTCTAGATAATTTAGTAAAGATATTTTTTTTCGTCTAAGATGCAGATATAACATTAATTTTTATATACAAATAATATATATTTTATAATATGTATATTATAATATATAATAATATATATTTTTATTATCTATATAAAGATAAGATGACGCTAAAGTTTCATCTATATAATTTTATTTAGATAACAGCAAACACTGGTCATTAATTGAATTATTAAATTGTTCCAAGAATTTGAGTAAATGCCTTTCGCATAAATAAGCATGTCCGCGTTAAATCGATAACGTTGGACATTTTTAACAATGCACACGTGGCGCGATAGTACAAAGTCCTGATAATTATCCTTCACTTGATAATGTTAATTGGCAAGCGATTAGATTTCGCGGCTTTTTTGCCAATCGGAAGAATTCGCGAACGTATTAGATATGAAACGAGAGAAAGAAGGAAATGTGTATCTCTTTTTGGCGAAAGTAATTAACAATTTGATAATGCTTAATTCGCACGTCGCGCTCCTTATCCGATACGATAAGATTGCTGTTTCGATTAGCTATCGCCGACCACTGATAAGTCTTAATTGATGTCGCGTATTCGCTTATCGCGAATTGTCTATATTTATGTAAATATCGTTAATTGCGTCTTATCAAAAATCGTGCGACGCTCTTATCGGTCTAATTTCAATTTGCTCATTTTACATGTTGCAAAAGTGACACCACTTAGGCCATTTTTTTTTTTTATGTAACGCGAAGCAAACAATATGTGATCGGCGAGATCAAAAAAACTCTCTCACGGTTCTCCAGCAAAGATGCAACAGTCCGGACTTTTCCGATTATTTGTTATTATCGTTATCATATATGATATTTCATAAGCTGATGCAATGTAAAAGCAAAAATACTGTTAGAAAGTTATTTAATATATAGAATATGAGTAATATGAACTTTATTTTGTCCCACTTTAATCATTTTTCATTCTGTTGGTTAAATCTTTGTGGACATTATGAATAAAACTATAAAAAAATATTTGTTAAAAAATAATTATATTTCTGCTAAAAATTTGAAGTTACTTTGAGTTTTTATCAAACTTCAAAATTTGACATTATTTAACGATGCTATAATTATTATCTGTTATTGATAAATATGTGTATGATAATCTCGCAAAATAAAAAAACTCTTTTGATAAAGTTTTATAAATAAAAAGAAATTATACATATCTTATTATTAATACATGAAATGGAATATTATGAGTCCTTTAATATAATTGAGAATTTAAAAAATACGTATGAATCACTGTAAATATCAGATAGAGATTGTACGGTAATTTTGATATAAATAGATTTATAAAATATTAATTTTATTAAAAAGATAAGTAAGTCATCATTGGTAGCGAATACATATCTCCACTTTAGATTAAGAAGTAGTAATAACAAATAAAACTATATAATCGATTTATAAGTTTTCCAATAAAGCTGTGTATCCAATAATCTATCGATCGCTTTATCAACTTGGACATAAAAAAATCACGTGCAAAAATATAATTTGTTCAATAGAAATTTCCTATCCGCTCGATTATATCTCGTCATTGCGTCATTAATATTCGCGTGTAGCTACATATTTTCACATACACATGGAAACATACTTAAGAAAGATTTCATACGCGATATCGTTCATTTCTAGCTATCATTACAAATGCGGAAATTAATTGCGCGATTTCAATAATCAGTTCTAAGGAACGGTAAGTTTTTCACGATGTCGTCGGGCTCTGCACAATTACGCGCGAGTCGCTCCGTTCCGGAGGGTGCAATTATGCCGTTTAACGAATATCATGGCGTCTTTCGACTCGATGGTCCACCCTCTCCGGATCCGGCGTTCGATCTCCTCTGCTCTCCCGAGCTCCGCCAGGGAAGTCCTATTCCGTAATTAGAATCTCCCAGCCCCCTAGGAGGCCTTCGCGACCGACTTCGCCCCCTCACCGGCCATTACTTTTAATGGCGTTGTTAATGAAACTAGGTGTCGCCAAATTAACCTCCCATTCCAGCTGTGCTCAACCGTAAACGAAAAGCGCTGCGCGGAAAAACGCGTAATTAAATTTCTCTAATTATGTCGCCGTGTGATTATCGCCGATAATAGACTGCTGCTTCGTAAATCACTTTTGATAGACTTTTAATAAATTTGCAGATCATGGGAGAGCTTTTAGAATGTTAGAGCATTTTTTCGTCAATCATCTTTCGCATCGCGATATAAATGCATTATATGAGCGAAGGAGTGTATATATATATATATATATGTATTATTAAAATAATACAATTTTCCGAAATTATAACAATTAAAAACACAACTTGCAAGAGCAAATCTTAAGCTCTTGTCAGATTTATTAGAGATAAGAGTGAGATCGATCGTAAAACACTTGGTACTTTGATATTTTAATACTATACAAATAGCTTAGAAAAGTATTTTAATTATTGTATTTTATCATTATTACGCTAATCACAAATTTATTAAAATATAAATTTCACGATGGAAGAATAAATTTAATTTAGTTGAAATCATATTTTCTCTTATTAAATCTACTTTTACAATTAAACAATGTTTGCTGTTAGCTAAATAAAATTATATAGATGATCTAGATGAAACTTTGGTGTCATTTTATCTTTATGTAGAATTGTGTTTCGCATAAGCAGTTTTAAAAATTGTTATCTAGAAAAATATCTAGATAAATCGCCATATAATTTGATATTCATCTAGATACATTTAAAACAAAATCACCATCTTATCTGAGATGAATTTCCATATTTTTATCCCACCTTTATCTAGCTAATCGCCATATAATTTGATATTCATCTAGATACATTTAAAACAAAATCACCATCTTATCTGAGATGAATTTCCATATTTTTATCCCATCTTTATCTAGCTAATTTAGAAATCATCTAAGCACAACACTGCAATGAAATCTCTCGACGTTACATTTGAATTGAGTGAAGAGACTTTCATCCTTTCTGGGATGACGTGATATTAATGGAAAGTTCTTATACGGCGAGATACATGAATTCTTTCGCTTATAGGCACCCGATTGAAAATTATTATCTAGAAAAATATCTAGATAAATCGCCATATAATTTGATATTTATCTAGATACATTTAAAACAAAATCACCATCTTATCTAAGATGAATTTCCATATTTTTATCCCACCTTTATCTAGCTAATTTAGAAATCATCTAAGCACAACAAAATCACCATCTTATCTAAGATAAATATTCATATATTTATCCCACCTTTATCTAGCTAATTTAGAAATCATCTAACCACAACATTGCAATGAAATCTCTCGACGTTACATTTGAACTGAGTGAAGAGACTTTCATCCTTTCTGGGATGACGTGATATTAATGGAAAGTTCTTATACGGCGAGATACATGAATTCTTTCGCTTATAGGTACCCGATCGAAAATTATTATCTAGAAAAATATCTAGATGAATTGTCATATAATTTGATATTCATCTAGATACATTTAATACAAAATCCCCATCTTCCTATACTATATTATAAATCACCAAGTTCTTATACGGCGAGATACATGAATTCTTTCGCTTATAGGCACCCGATCAAAAATTATTATCTAGAAAAATATCTAGATGAATCGCCATATAATTTATATATAATTTGATATTCATCTAGATACATTTAATACAAAATTACCATCTTATCTAAGATGAATTTCCATATTTTTATCCCACTTTTATCTAGCTAATTTAGAAATCATCTAAGCACAACAAAATCACCATCTTATCTAAGATAAATATTCATATATTTATCCCACCTTTATCTAGCTAATTTAGAAATCATCTAAGCACAACACTGCAATGAAATCTCTCGACGTTACATTTGAACTGAGTGAAGAGACTTTCATCCTTTCTGGGATGACGTATATTAAATGGAAAGTTCTTATACGGCGAGATACATGAATTCTTTCGCTTATAGGCACCCGATCGAAAATTATTATCTAGAAAAATATCTAGATAAATCGCCATATAATTTAATATTCATCTAGATACATTTAATACAAAATCACCATATGAATTCTTTCGCTTATAGGCACCCGATCGAAAATTATTATCTAGAAAAATATCTAGATAAATCGTTCTTATACGTCGAGATAATACCATTCTTTCGCTTATAGGCATTCTTTCCGATCAAAAATTATTATCTAGAAAAATATCTAGATAAATCGCCATATAATTTAATATTCATCTAGATACATTTAATACAAAATCACCACCTTCTCATACCATATTATAAATCACCAAGTTCCTATACGTCGAGATACATGCTTTCTTTCGCTTCTACGCACCCGATTGCAGCCCGAGAGAGAATCGCGATCGGGAGGGCGACCAAGGAGGGTTTGAAAACCACTGGTCCGGGCTGATTATCGCGGTAACCACCCCCCGAGCGCCAATTAATCTTAACTTTTACGGGGCAAACACTTTTCATTAAGCCCGCCTCTCCCGCCGGCGTCGGCGTTTCGTCGTCCCACCCGGCCTCGTTTCTCGCAGCTTCAGCCACCCTCGCGAACCACCCCATTTTTCCTCACTCCACTCTCCGTTCAACCCCCATCCCTTTCATCCCCCGTCCCGCTTCGTCGCTCGTCCTCCTTCGGCCACGGCGAAGAACGGCAAGGAAAATGGCTCCCCAGACAAGCGTTTAATCTGGCTCTAATTAGCAACTTACCCTCCACCATTGCTCTCGCTTTCTCCCTCCTGCATCTCGCGGTAAGTGCATTCTCTCTGTGACCAATCCCGTTCTCTTTCTGTTTCCGCCGAGGACAGGAGTGGATCCACATATCTCGGGCCCCTAAAGTGGAAGGGTTGAAAATATCTCCTCTCCTTTATTTCTCATTAATTAATCCTCGCGAGGATGGACCAACTTTTTCTATCTCTCGCCCGATTTATTTTCTAATTAATTTCTTGGATATTCGTATTTTACGAGAATTTTTTAAAATTAGGAAAAGCACGTTTCTTCGCTTCCTAGGAATGATGCGAAAGATACTTTGTACGATGAGATCGATAATCGTTTGTTAATTAAGGATAATTAATTATATATTGAAAATGATGAAACTTGAATTATAGAATTGTCAAGAAATAATGGATTGATATCATTTGTTGTAATTATTTATCAAGAGGGAATTCTCTGAAGGTTTCAGTTATCCTTCGTAGGACATTTACGGGTGAATGTATAGGAAGTGGCCATGCTTACAGATGGTCGATAACAGGAAGTAAACGTTCAAGTATCGACGTTGAAGTAAAGTACACATCTATAATCATGTGACGTTAAAGAAATCAGCTGCATTTTATAAATATGTTTTTGAAATAAAAATAAGAATATTGAAAAATCTGACGTAAGAATGAAATAAATGCGCGTACATCGATCTAGCACAAATAAAAATGATATTTATCATTATGGAGGAAAAGTTTATCTATGCTTATCGAGAAATCAACAGAAAATTAAATTTTGATAATGTTGCTAATTCTAATTTACTACTGTTATCGGGATTTTTTTATAACTTCTGCCTTTGTTCATATTTTTCAAATATATGGTATATATTTCATGGTTGGAAAAATATAATTTTTTTTACAGACAGAATCTCAAGACAAATTTAATCAATTCTCATATATTATATTACATCACGTGTCATTAAAGTAAATACTTTTAAAATACGTAATATTTTTCGAATTTCTACATAAAATATAAATAATTATTATAAAAATCATTTCAATTCAATAATAATTTGTTATATTAATTTAAAATAAATATTTAAATAACAGAACTAAATTCGAAAACAAATGCCTTTCGATTTGAATATGCGTGATAATAAATTATTACAACAACAACGAAACTTACAAGCAGTTCAAATGTTGTTTCAATTACATTAAATGTCCCATTCATTACTATATTAATCAACATCTCGACAACTTTGTCCCGGCATAGTAAATTGCTCATTGGGATATATTGATTGTAATTTTTATAACATTTCGTTATCAGCTTTGAATATACTTTATAAACAACGCCGTAACAAGCATCATGTTTCTTGGCACTTTCGAGAGAGAGAGTGCCTGCTGTTCAAGAATAATCAAATCGAGAATACGATCGCAAAAGTTCTTAAAGAATGAGTCAAGACTTTGGTAACTGGTGCGTGTCGTTCTCGCATGTTCTCTTCTTTTTTTTTTTTGGGCAGCGAAGCAACCCACAAGCTTCGAAGGAACTGAGACATCTCTTCTTCGCTTAGCTCATAACTTTATCGATCCAGGGTACGAATTTCTGAATATTGGTGTACACCCCGGGCAGGTGTTCGCGACCGCACCCGATGCCCCAGGAAACCAAACCGATCAAAACGTGTCTGCCTTCCACCGACATCGTGAGTGGTCCACCCGAATCACCCTATTACAAATTAAATTGATTTATACGCACAATTTTCAATAGTTCTATACTGAAAAAAAATTAATTAATATTTATTTCAATACTGCCAAATAAATCATTTATTATATTAAATAAATATTTTTCAAATCAAATTAATATTATTAATTTCAAATAAATGATTTGTATTGAAATCAATACTTATTCGAATTAATTATCAAATTTATTAATTTAATATAAGTAAATATTTGTTCGACCATTCTGTATAGTTTGTCTCTTAATATTTGCATTGAATCTACATTTAATTAATTAATTATATAATTGATCTATATTTAATTAATCTCATTACCTGACAAGAATCTCGTCCACCCTCTTTATAACCTGCGCATAGGAATACATCGTGAATGGTCTCTCTTCTTCCAGCTGCTCTGAACCATCTCTGACACCTCTCGTTCGGTATTACCTGAACAAAAATATATAACAATGATTTATTATAATAATAAAAATTATCTACCACTTAATTGAATATTATATGTATGTGTATCTCTTAATATTTTTTTAATAAACCAACTCTTGTCAAAGTTTCTTCATAAAATAAAATATTAAATCTATATTATATACCAATCTTAAAAATTAAAAACATCGTTTAAGATAAAAAAAAGCTATAGAAAAAAATACATCACACTTGAAAAATCTGATATTATTATGTATATTATAAGGCGTATAATTCGCTGTCGGGGAGCGTTTTATCGTCAAAGGCAAAATACGTCGCCGAGAGTGTACTCACTTCGACGTCGACTTCTTGAAGAACGGATGGTGCCGAAGTTTGACCATGTCTGGTTCGTCCCCAACCAGCGACGGTTGCGGTTCTGCCGGAGAGCTTCAAATTCCTCGCCGGCAGGCAAACCGGGACAATGTGCTGCTTGAAAGCTACCGTCCGAGACAGCTTAACCAAAGCCACGTCGTTCCGAAAATCGGTAGGAGAATATTGCGGGTGTACCTGTTATATTATCCGACTTTTAGCACTATTGTTCTCGAGTTATCATCTTTCTCCCTCAATAAGGGATCGAATTCTCTTGAAAAAAAAAGTATTCATATTTTTTTTTCTTATCATATTTGGGACATGCATTGTGTGCTCTTGCAAGTATAATACATTTTCAGAGTAATAAGATTTAAAAATCGTATTTTCAAAGACAAAACCTCTTTCCTCTCGATGTTGTATTCCTCGTGGAGCAGCCGCTCTGCTGCATCTCGAACGTCCCACTCTCCAAGTCGAACTTTCAAATTGTTGTTCGGCGTCCTGGCGTACAAAATATGCATATCGATCAACATTCTTATCACACCCCTTACGAGAACGTAATATCGCGATACTAAAATACTAACGTCGCGACACAGTGAGCTGCGGTGACGACCCATCGGTTGTTCAGCAAGGCGCCACCGCAGGATAGCTTCTTGCTGAGAAATCCCGATTTGATAATAGCGGCCTGTAACAGAGCCAGGGTTTGCTGTTATCTCAATCAAATTGTACAGCTGATCATCTAGATGAAATTTTGACGTTATCTTATTTTTATACAGGTAATACAAATATATGTATATTATTCATATTATTTACTCCAATTGATTACTCCAAGATTTTCTCGTCACGAATGAAATTATCTTAGATGAGATAATTTTATCTTAGATGAGATAACAATTTTCAAAATATAATTATCTAAATGAATCGCTACATAATTTTATCTAGATGTATTCAAAATCATCTTTGTCTTATCTGAGAAGAAAACTTGAGTAGTAGAACTTAAGCATATTCCTTTACATTTTTTATAACTATAACTTTTTTTACACAAGCAATTTAAAAAATATAATTATCTAGATGAATGGCTACATGATTTTATCTAGATATATTCAAAATTATTTTCATCCTATCTGAGATGAATTTACATATTTTCATCTTATCTTTATCCAGATAATTTAAAAATCATCTAAGCACAGTACTGAACAGAGCGAAGACGTCAAGAGACTCGTTTAACAGTGCATTACATGAAATATGCATCCACGTCACGGCTCGCGGGCCTTTGGAGAAGATTTAATAGATTATTTTTCCCTCTCTTTCTCTTTCTTCCTCGCTAGACGAGCAAATTGATGGCTCGTCTCCGATGAATAATGCAGAGGAAAGGAAGAGTGTATGTGTGTCGCTCGCTCGAAAGATATTTATGGTGGCCGAGCAGTGACAGGAGAAGGATCTCACCTGCCACGGATGGCTGCCGAAACTGGACGAGTGTCCTCCGACAATCCTGTTGCTCCTGGTGTAGAGCTCGCCGCAGCCTGAAACGACGAGCACCTTATTAGAAATCAGGAATACGCGTGAAAAAAGAAGAGTGCCTGATATAATTTCTGTGACGGTGACATTACATATGATATTTGACAGTTGTGGGGTGACGTTTGGATTTTCTGGGTGGGATCGAAAAGCTGCTGCACTTGTGCGATTTGCAGTCGTAAAGAGGAAAATGAAAATATACGCAGTGTATAAAAAGGATAAGCTTATGCTGAAAAAAATTTTTTTTAACTGATACTTTCTACAATTATTGCGTGCAATTAAACTTATATAGAAGATTGTTTGCGCGTTGGCGAGAGACAGAAAGCAGAAAATAAGTATATAGCGAGTTATTATAACTGTAGAAAGTTCACGCAACTTTGAAGAATATATTATAATTTTATTACACCGCGATAGAGAGATGTTATTCAAGATTGATTACTCCAAGATTTTCTCGACACGAATGAAATCTTTATAAATATGAATACAATTCAAAATATATAAATACAAATGAAATAGATACACGCATATACATATTTATATCTTTATATTAAAAATATTAAAACACCATATAATCAATTTTTATATTTCAAGATATTCTTTATCCTATATCTCATATTTCTATTTTATAGTTTAATATTTAGGAGAACCAGACCATTATTAAGAATAAAATACAATTATTTATTTCTTCCATTTTCTGTTGCGTCTTCTATTCAGTATCGTCTTTCTTGTTTTTCGCTTTTTCTGTTTTTCTGTCCTGGTTTTGTCTTCTGTAAAGTCATTTTTCAGCGTTCTCTCATTTTTTGTCTTCGCAAATCCAGTTTTCCGGCAGCTTTTTGTACAGTAAAATGTGCGATGTGATGGCGGAAGTACTCATTCTCGTGCAGTTTCCGTGCGAAAAATTGCGTGCTCGTTTGGATATTGTCTCGGCCATGAAACTTTTTCGATTATTCAGATATACGTGGATCAATAGTTTATCTCAATCTATATTTTATCAGTAAATGTATCATTTATCATCATGTATCAGTTATCAGTAAATGTAGCATTTCGTGTGTCATTTGTTTTACAAAACTCGTCACAGTTACGTCTCGTAATATCATGTGTTTCTGTAATCATTTTCGTCGAAGCTAAAAATCATCTTCTATCTTTGTAATACTTTTTAAAATCCACTTATTTTTCTGGATCATCGATAGATCGTACTCAATACTTATCTATTAGACCGCATACTTAATAACACGCATCTGTCTTCTAATCTAACATAATTAGATTAGAATCAAATCTAATGCTTGTTTGCGATCGATTACAGTTCAATCGACGTCGAACGTATCCAAACTAATAATCAAGTGCGATCTAGAACTCTCAGTCTGCTGCTGATCGAAGTGCAACGAGTGCAAAGAAGCGTATGCTCGATCATTTTGATTGAAAAAAAACTATACGAATTTCAGTGTTCGCTGTTATCTAAATAAAATTATATATAGATGATCACCTGGTTGCAATTTTGACGTAACCTTATCTTTGTATAGATAATAAAAAAATATATTATCTATATCTGCATCTTAGACGACAAAAATGTTACTTTTACTCAATTATCTAGACTAATAATCAGATAATTTGGTTTACAGTCATAGTACATAAAAATATACTTAAGTAATAGAACTTAAGCATATCCCTTTCATAATTTACAATTTTTTTAATATAACTGTGTTTACATAAGCAATTTAAAAACTATAATTATCTAGATGAATCGCTATATAATTTTATCTTTTATCTAGATATATATAAATCCAAAATCATCCTCATCTTCTCCAAGATGAATTTTCCCTTATCTTTATCCAGATAATTTTAAAATCATTTAAGCACAACACTGTGGATGATTTGAAATCGCAACTTCGATGAGATCAGTCTTCCATCCAAAGGATTCTGCGCGCCTTCGGAACACCGGAAGCGTCCGAATGAACAATCCTGAGTCTCCCGACACACAAATCGACATGCACAAATCGGTGCAACCAGTCTGCGTGCGCATATTTCGTGCGATTACCACGGTATCTAGAGTAGTCCACGGCGGCACTGGACGAGTCCTCGATCGCAGGAACGTGCGTGCCGGAAGTGGCGGGTTGGTAGCCGCCACCGTCGTACTCGTCCTGGACCGGAAAATCCATCTGGACCGGATGATGATGCGGGGGCCGAGTGACGGCGTACGTCGGCCGATCGTAGCCGATCGCGAGATCGTTCGGCCGATCGTGGTTCCAGACTGTGTAAGACGGATCGTAGAGGCTCGTCGGCTTGCCGCCGCCGCTTGCGGCGAACGTGGGTCGATGGACCGTCCCTCCTTGACCCGGAGACGGTCTTCCGGGTCTCGCCGAGCTTCCGTAAATGTTCACGTCGTCGTCCACGTACGGCTGTTGGTGCCCGAGATTTAGGGAAAACGCTGGGCAACGTAACGATTGTCGCTATATTAGCTATTCGGAATCACTCGCGTCGCGATTCAATCCATATATATTTCCAGCAGAGTTGGGTAATAACTAGTTCATTAGTTTATTTAAAATGTATTCATTTCTTTTATCTCTGAATGCCATTATTGCTTTTTATAAACGTATTATTTTTAAATTAAAATATTCTTAATTTTTATGTTCATTTGTCATTTGTCATTGTTCATTTCTATATAAAAATAAAAATTTCTCTGTTATACATTTTAAAAGAATTAACAAACAAAATTCTAATTTAATATAAATAATGATTTTTAAAATTAACTTTTGATTTAGCTTCTGTTAACTTAATCCTTTAAACCTTTTAACTTAACTAAATTAATTTTATAAGCAATTAACTTTAACTTAATTTAGTTTGAAAAATTTCATTAACTTACCCAACCCTGATTTCCAGATTTGTAGATTAAGAATATAATACGTCAATTTAATATTAATGCAGATGCTTATACACGTGGACGATATTTTATACTTTATAGTTATAGTATACATATAATTTTTTCTTCATTATTATTCTGGAACACTTTTATTGAAATTGACAGCAATTTATCAGTTTCTAATTGGTAACAAATTGCAATAATAAAAATTGGTCAAACTTTTTTCGATAAAAAAGCAAGATTACTTTAATTTTTTTTAATGGTATCATCGTGTTCCTTTTTAACAGTAATGTAGAATCAGTAAAAAATTCAATGAGAGTACATACATTCTCATTTTAAGTTATATACATTACATTTCAATATAATATTTTAAATCCCCTAAAGCGTAATTCTTCGGTATCGAGGAAATTCACTGATAATATAAATGTCGTAAATAGTAAATAGACTTGACAATTGACTTTATGTTGTCTATAACATGTAGTTTAACTAATCAGAAATATATCAGTTTATCGTGTGTCTGAGTGAATACCTGATAAATATAATAAATCACTTGTAATACAAAAAAGATATGTTATAGTGCTTGACCAACTAGTCAAAATAATCAAAATGATCAAATACCATCAAAACAATCTCTATAATCAAGATAATAACAAATTATTTTGTAATGATCAAAATTAAATGATCAAAGCGGTCAAAATAATTCAAACAATTTATAAGTGTCTTAATTAAAAATTGTGGCAACAATTACGAGGACTATTATATATATATATATATATATATATATATATATATATATATATATATTTCATTATATTATTTATAGCATACATATATAATAGTCCTCGTATTGTTGCCACAATATTATATAATATGATCTCGTAATTGTGGCCACAATATATTATAATTAAGACACTTAATTGTTGCCACAATTTTAATTAAGACACTTAATTGTTTGAATATTTTGACCGCTTTGATCATTTAATTTTGATCATTGTGTCTTAATTAAAAATTGTGGCAACAATTACGAGAACTATTATATATGGTATATATATATAGAAGATTATTTGTATGCTATAAATAATATAATGAAACAAATGTGTATGTACAATAATTTGTAATTGTTCCTGCTGCGTCAGTGACATTATTTCCTCGTGTTCCTAATCGCGCTATTGTATTGATGGTCGCGTGGTTACGGTGAGCGACTTGCGGCTTGAGAAAGCCGCGTAAGTTCTACGAACGCGTAACGCGTTTGCCGTCGCAAACTAGGTGTGAATAACTGTATTTGAAAGTATCAGGGAGCCGGTATACTCTGTCGGTGGTCTTTCGCGCGCGCAACTGGACGTTGCTGGTTGTGTAATTTCGGTTGGTGTCGCCGAATAGAAATCAGGTTACTTCCAGCCAGCTCTCCTTTCAGTAAAAAAACGATCAATCAAACTTTTTCAATCTTCCTCCAATTTAATTGGCTCAACCCTTTGATTTAAAATAACACATATGTCTCCCTGAAAGCTAATTTATAGTCATCTATCTTTTTCTATATCACACTAAATGTTCATTTTCAGATACTTACTATAAATGAAAGATCAAGATTAGATCATTGAAATTTAATGTGTTTCGAAAATTGAATATATTTACTGGAAGAGTCGGCCTCTCTCAAACGAGTCGCGCTGAAAGCCACGAAGTCTCGGTTCAGAAAGTCTCGGTTTAGCGACATTCGAGGACAGAGACTCTCTTTCAGGATGTCATAAATTTATAGCGGTACAACGAGATGGATAAAAAGGACCTCAAGAATTAATTGAGGCACATTGTTAGAATGAAAAATTCTTCTGTGAGAAGAAACAGGCGGCGTTTCTTCCGTGTTCTAAAGGATAACACAAAGGACAATTCGCAAATTTATCAATTAAAATCTACTCATTTTTGTAGTCAGAAATTGCTTCTCTACGTGCTATCGGATCTCTCGGTTCTAGAAAGGCGAGAAAAAATATAATAACTTACTGGCATTCTGTAGCAAACCCACGGTTGGTCGTATCTTTTCAGGTATGTCGTCGTCGTCAACGCAGCAGCTCCATATTAAACCTCCGGAACAAAGGTCGACAGGTCGACCACCGCCTAAAACGCAGCTAATGCTAAGGCCGCACTCGAACTTTGCGCCTTTATATTTACACGTTTGCGGTATCACTGAAACAGATTATTTTATTTCATAAATGTCAATATTTCCACGACGGATAGATTTAATATTGACGGAGATAGACGATGTTAATATGGATATATAGTAAAACATTTCGCCGTGGAAAAGTTGCTGGATTTTTTTTCAATTAAATAGAAAAACAATCAATTGTGAAAATCTGTCACAATATCGTGTTTATTCACATAATTCCAGTTTTAATTAACACCACTTTTTTAAAAAATTTATGTTTGAACTTTATCGAAAATACTTTACACTTATAATTGCGTCGATAATTAATTTTTTATCAATTTATACCAATAATGAAAAATCAAGGATGTTAAATGTCAAATTTTACAAAAATCTTGAATGTATCATATATATAAGATGATGAATTATCTTGCGCTAATTTTGTACAATTTTATATATTCCCCGTTAATAATATGTTCATTTATTTATTTATATTTTGATATGCAGCAATGTATTTTACGCTCGAGATGAATAGTTTACTCGATTAAAAGCACTTTGAATCCTTTCGACAATATCTGCAACAGCAACATCTCCGTTCCGTTTTTCGATCTTACAAACATACTTCTGCCCAGCATATCCATAAGACCACTCTGGAGATTGGAACCATGTCCTCGATGATCATTGGTGTGATTTCGCTTCTTCCTAAGCGTTTCCACTAGCAAAACACCTTGCTGCTGACTGGTGAGTTTCCTTCTTCTGCCCTGGCGATGTCCACCCAACAGTTCCTCGAGTTCTCCGCTCAGTTTCTTCTGCCTAACCTCGTCCAGAAATTCCTGAATATCAATTTCTTCCTCCACCCCTTGCAGGTCTTTCTCGAATAAATTCTGTCCGCTCCAATCCTTCGTCTCCTCCTCCTCCTTCGCGTTATGATCGAAGAAATCTTGCTGAACGTTCTTGGAGAACACCGCGTTCTGCGCAGGAAAATCCGCGTTCTCCAATATGGCGTCGGTGGTCTCGTCGCTGTTGTACGGAAAATTCGAAAAGTACTCGTACTGCTCGACCTTGTGCAAGGGCGGTCTGCCGATGACGTTCTTCAGAGTGCTCTCGATCGCTCGATTCTCGCGCGTCACTTCCTGCCGCGTCCTGTGGTTCCAGAGATTCTGCTGCTCGTCCGAGTCCTCGGCGAACCTTCTCGGCGAATTTTGGAGAACGTCGACCTTGACGAGCGAACTCGACGGTCTCGATTTCTGAGCCAGGTGTATGCCGGATCGCTGCAAGCGAGCTTCTTTAACCTTAATCGATGGAACCGGTCGGCTCGTGGCCGCGACCTTGATGTCCTCTCGGCGTTTCCACGAGTAGCTGTCATCGCGATTGAGAGCGCCGGCTACGGTGATCAGAAGCATCCCGAGCGCGAGATTCATGGTGACGTTTGTTTATTGTTTCGCGGATACCTTGCACGTCATCGCGATCTCAAAATGAAGAGAGCCTCGTCACACGGTGAAGATAATTCAAGAATGGAACATTTCTTCGGACCATTTGACGAGAAAGAGTAGAGATTTTTCAAAATCGAATTTCTCCAATATTCCAGGAGAAACCTGATTCAGTGTGAAGCTGTAAAATCTCTTTGAATGTTTGACTAGTTTAAATTTCACTGGCATGAACGTTTAAGGAATTAATTAGCATGCAGTTTCTTTGGCTCATCGACTTTTTCTTCTTCTTCCTCTTACGACTGACAACTTCCACCTCCTGTTCGATGATGAGTTAATACGGACATTTTTAAAAAAATCTTAGACTTCGAATGTGCTTAGCATAATTTAATCACCAATTAATTTTAATTAATTATAGATCCTTGACAGTCTATACGATAACAGATTCCTCACAAATCTCTAGCTTCGTCGAAGGCTCCGGCGAGATGCGCGATAATCCCGGACGATCTGTAAAATCCGATGCAAATTTTCCGCCATTTTGGTAGCACTGATTTTTCTCGGAGTCACTTCGAGCGCGTCATCGCTTTTCCAAAAGCTCCAAGTGGACGAGGACCGAATCTCCTTTTTTTTCCAAAGATCGCGCACGATCGAGAAACCGGGGTTCGAAGGTCTCCCGGGTCCTTTATGACACTTCACCGAGAGATGACAAGCCGAAGACAATGCACGCCTTCCGCACGTGGACTAGCTTAAGCCGATGTCCCACGAGTCTCGATTCGCATCTAAAGAACCGTCCGCTGCTTTCACCGGCGTCAGCTTTCCCGCAACGGCGGCGGCAGTGTCGTCCGTTGGTCCCACATTGGTTCCCCACCCTGGCCATCGTCCGAACGTGGTGCGTGTTATTTTCCATTTCTTTCCTCTTCGTTGAATTATTTTTTTGCCGCGACGCGGAATTGTCGTACTTTGAATAGCGGGAAAACTTCATTAAGATTTGGGCCACAGCCGCTTCGCGAGGATGGAGAACCAAGATAGTCTTGGTCACCTCTTTCACGAGTCCTTTGTCAAATTGTTTAAGCTATTTTGTCATTTGCGCGTTAGTGATTTTACCATTGTCATTTTTTCCTACTCTGTCGAAATATGATGAAGAGATGTATTTTTTATTCTATTTGTTTCATTGGAATATTCAATAATGTGCATTATTTCAATTAAAAAATAATTAACCAATATTTTTGTTATTGTTAAAAATTATCAATTAGTAAAGATTCGAATTTATAAAAATTTGAAAGTTTAATAATTTTTTTATAAACAACTTTATTATAAATAAATAAAAGATAAGTCTTTATTATAAATAAAGAAGAATTTTTTTGCAAGAAATCATCTGCTTTCAATTGACTAAAATGATTATATATTCACATCGAATAGATTTGACATACTGAGATATTGCGACCTAATTTCATCGCATGGTTTCACTGAAAGTATTTTTTCTCTCTTTGAGAGTAAATTGATGAGGAATATTTGCCTATTAAGTTCCATTCAGAAACTTCAAGATTAGATAAATAATATCAGATAGTGTTTGCATTAATGCAGATCAAATATCACTTGACAGAAAATAATTACAATTAAATCGCGCTACGACATTTCATTCTAAGTAGAATGAATAAAAATTTCAGCAATTGATGTAGAAATAATTTAGCGAGTACCACGTTTCATTTTCAGCAAAAAGAAAGATGTAGAACTAGTAAAACGCTTTTAACAGAGAGACCAGGGATCCACTGAGGTCGCAGTGAAAACTGAGAGCTTCCGTGCGCTTCATTATAAATATTCTTGTAGAAAGTAAGCGTCAGTAAGTGGCCTTTCAAGTACGATTCCGATTTCGTCTCCCTTGTTAACTCAACTGTGAATCTTTCTCGTGCTCTGCTCACGTTTAGAGTAGAAAATATTACCCGCAATCTCTTCTCGTGAGAAATGTCAGATGATTGCGGGGCCAAATAAAATATTGCTCAAAGAGAATCCATTTCTCCAACTTTTCTTCTCAGTTCTTCGAATATATATTATCTTGCACGTAATAAACATTTTTGCTAATTTTAATTAATTAAATCAATGTTTAATTGATTATATATGCATTAAAAAATAATGTTCAATTTTGAATACTAATTTAATTAATTATTATGATATGCAATTAATATTTAATTAATTATTATATGCAAAGTAATGACCGATATTAATTTGCCTATAAGATGAAGATATAGGTCATTGCCTTAGTTTATAATCATGTATATCCGGTGAATGTTAACCGGTTTATCATCTTAAAATTTGTTCGATTTCTCGAACTCTCTTTATTACTCGTAAATAGATGCATCTATATTGAATTATCTTTTTTTACGTCACTCAATTATTAATAGAAAAGGAACAGATTAATTTTGAAGGAAGAGAGAAGTACGTACAGTTCGCCATTTGGATCGCATTGAGAAATGTCATGCATAACAATCCAGTCGAATTGTACTATTGTATTTAAATTGTGCTTAAGCATTAGCAGAAGCAAGGGCGACACGAGTCTTTCCGCTCATTTTTCGGTCGACATGGGAGAAAATTCATTTATTATTCAAGGCGTACACGACTGGCCTTTCTCTTTCGAAGCAATCCTTAAAATTCATTTTAACGCCTACTTGCCGTTACTTACACTCACGATAACGTAATTGAAACGAGAAGACTACCTCGCGGTGGCGAAGCAATAATTACACGTTATTAAATATAATAACTAAATATAAACAATATTATACTTACATCCCAGTTCGTCGAAGAATCTCATCTGTCCATGGGAATCGATTGCATTTTCGAGATTTTCCACTTTGTCCACGCGATCTATCAAAAAAAAAAAAAAAATACTATTTATTATCTTGACTGATATAATTAAATATGAACTGAAAATATAGCGTGGATTTATTTACCAAAATTCTTGAGGAATCGATTGTTTTTTCTGTTATTAGCGAGACAGCAGTTAATAGCGATCAGAAGTAGCCAGATAAGCGCTCCAGTTTTGAGAGCAATCATCTCTTTTCTCCAGTCAACGATGAATCCACGATGCGATCCACTGTTAGTCGCAAATTATGTTCGATTGTTTCTGATCCGGCACCGGATCATTTTGCCGCCTCTCCCGCGATTTCACCTTGAAATCAGAATCTCTCGTCTGTCTCGCCGCACCGCTGTTCTATTAAAAGGGCAAAAAAATACTCAAATGAAAAAGAGCATAGTACCCTTTTTTTTACAAGTTTTTTTTTTACGCAGCGCGACCTGCTCGTTACAATCCGACGAAATAAAATTTGTTTTACAATCGCGCAAGCGTCCCGTTTAATCGAACGGCCGCGAGGAGTTCAAAGGGAACCCGATAATAGTCGGTGGACCTTGATGGAAAGTGGTAATTGCTAGCCTGGAACTGTGAAAAATCCACTTCGTAAAACATGATTCTGGGGAGAAGAATTCGTTTGGAAATTTTTTTGTCAACGCAATGATTCCTGTGAGTGCATCGTATTACATAACGCTTTATCTTGTTTTGTTATTCCCGAGACTTATTATTTATGAAATTAATAGATAAATAGATAAATAATAGATTGCAAAACCTATGTTTTATATATCTTCTTATTTTATTTTAATTAATGCAAAAAGGAATTTGCAATGTAACTTGTCCAGAATTTCTTATAATGCACACTGAAAAAATTATTAAATTAATAAATATTTATTTCAATACTGCCCAATAAATCATTTATTCGAAACAAGTAAATATTTATTTGCTTTGAAACGGATTTTCTTATATCAAATAAATATTTTTCACATTAAACGAAATAAAAACCTATTCGAACTTAATAAATTTTTTTTAATACAGAATTTTTTATTAAGTCATTTATCTACCACATGATCAGGTTGCATACTGATCAAATAAAATATGCAAATTTTTATTTCAATACTGCCCAATAAATCATTTAGTCGAAACAAATAAATATTTTTCGCACTAAACGAAATAAAAACCTATTCAATAAATTTTTTTTCAGTGCAAAATTTTTTGTTAAGCCATATTTATCTACCGTATGATCAGGTTGCATACTGATTGAACGAAGCATCCAAATTAGGGACGACGGTCGCGATTGACGGACTCGGTTCATCTGCGATTTCCCTGCCGATCTTGGGACCTTTTGTTCGCCGTTCTCGGTCGATTCGTCGACGGCATACCGTAAGCGCGAGTTCAGGCTAGCGTGTCCAAGATGTACAGTCCAACACAAAAGTGGGACACGAAACCAGGCCACCGAGACAAGTGGCACGCCTTTTAGTGCTTCGTAATGTTCGGCTAGTCTACATGCGGAACCGGGTGTACCTCTCTCTCTCTCTTCCTCCTTGGGTTATTAGTGAAAGTTAGCCGGTAACTTTCGACTTTGACAACGACGGCGATTTGCCATGGTGAACGCATCCGCGGTGTCCCCGGCGCACTAGATTACGTTTAAGAGTATCATTCTATAAAGTCTCTTCCAATCCTTTCTCTGCGATTGACAAAGGGTATTTAATTGTGACGGAGAATGTCGATCGAATTCTATATGCATATTTATTTTATTTTAATTTGTTTAATATTTCTAGGTTTTTATTTTAATATTAATTCATTAAGCTTGTTATCGTTAAGAGATTATTAGATTTTTAGTTGAAAAATCTCTTTTGTTGTCTTCAAAATCTGACGAAAAATTATGTAACAGTGATATGTTTCGCGGAATATTAAGTTTTAAAAGCTTGCTCCAATTTTGGAAATGGATTTCGGCTAGTTCGCTTAAATGATATATGGTAGGATTGAAAACGAAGGAAAGAGTGAAATATCACTTTCAACCATCACGCCGCAAATTACGAGTTAAAACTCGTACACGGGTTCGCTATTGTTTTTGACTGCTCGACTTTCTTTGTACTCCTGTCCTATCTAATAAATCAAAAAAAAGCACGCACACACCTAGGTATAGGTAGATTTACCTATGCCATTAATTAACACGTACTACATCTCTCGATTAAAATCTGCTCTGGTTTAAAAAACATTTTTATATCTCAAAAAATATATTATTTAAATCATTCAAATGCTCGAATTTTCTAAAAGTCTACTCTTGTATTTAAAACAATATTTTTTATATATCTTGTTAAAATTTACATTATTTAAATAGTTCATACGCGCGAATCTTCTACAAATTTGATAAAAGTCTGCTCTTGAATTTACAAAAAACATTTTTTATAGATATCTTGTTGGAAAATACATTATTTAATACACTGAAAAAAAATTTATTGAATTCAAATAAATATTTTTTTCAATACCGTCTAATAAATTATTTGAAACTATTAATATTGATTTGATGTGAGAAATATTTATTTGCTATAAGAAAATCCTTTTCAAAACAGATAAATATTTATTAATTTAAATTTAAAGAAATGATTTATTAGGCAGAGTATTGAAATAAATAATTATTAATTTAATAATTTTTGTGAGTGCACAAATTTTTAATCGAGGAACCCAGCCGGGAATGAAATAAGCGAAAGGAGGGAAAGATATATAGAGAACTTTAATCAATGTCAAGACACTAAGGGCACTTTCAGGGACGAGCCAGCAATTGCATACATCGTTGCACCGACGAGATTTTTCCGAATCGATCGTCACGTTCTAAAGAATTGAATGCACGTGCGGCGCGATGCGATCAACAACCTCACCTGGATTTCTATCAAGATCAAGGCCGACGGCGAGTTTGAGATATTGTCTGCGAGGTACGATCTAGCACTTGAGGCAACTGGCGAAAGGGCTCGTGCTTTCTCCTCGATTCAATCGATTCTCCTTTATCACAGCTCGATGCACCGATAGACTTCGCGCCTGTGTTTATCTGTCATAAATTTATTTCTCACATGCATTTATTTATGCATTTTTTAAATGTAAGAAAGTTCCAAGCTAAGCAAGCGTTTATAGGTGAAAAATTTTATCTTCGTTTCATTCTATACACAATATCTATCTATAAGAGTGTGTCAAAATTATACACGTACGTTTAAAGATCACTTTTTATTTAATGAATTCACTCCGTAGACATGTTTTTATTGGTACTAGAAAGTTTTAAAGCTACTTTGGTGAGATCCAATTCGTTTGAGATATAATCGTACAACGATGAAACACATGTATCACCGCTTATATCACGTTACAAGCCAATGAATAGAGCACCGCGACATGCGGTTGACTACTGATGAGGAACAGAAACATCAGCATCCGAGACCACTCTCTTTGGCCTGTTCTCACTCTCTCCAGATGGGCCCAAGACCCCTAAAGCGTTCCTTTTCTATCTATCCAGTGAAATTACGACCAAGTGTAATGAGTGTCTCTTACATCCGTTCTATCCAGATTAAAAAAAAAATGTTCCACGAAAACATCACTTTCTATTCACAACTGTTCCTTTTCCGCCCTTTTTTATTTTACGTTCAATTTTTTCCAAATATTTTCCCCTAATTAATTTGTTTTTCTCTCTTCATCTTTTTTACATTTAATAATCTTATTGAATAAAATTGTGAATATATGTTTTAATTTTAATTAGTACATTCGCGACATCACTTTCTATCCAGCTGTTTCTTTTCCGTCCTTTTTAATTTTACATTAAATATTTAAAAATATCTTCCTCTAATATTAATTTATTTTTCCCTCTTTTTATCTTTTTTTTATTTAATAATCTTATCGGGTAAAATTGTGAATATATACAATACTTTAATTTTAATTCGTACATTTATATCTTTATCTTGCAGATCTCGAGGAACAGCATATGCTCCACAAATCACGGTATTAATTTTATTATAATTATACAAATCGTTATGCATATGGCCTGGATTTTTTTTTCTCGGGGGTGTAATTATGAACAGACATGTCACACCGATATGTAACACAACACGATTCGCTATTCCCGCTTAGTAATCCCGAAACTTACTTTCACGGAAAGTTACAATTGGGCGAGATAATCTGTTTTCTTCCGCGCGAGATTTCACTTCTCAATCTCGTTGTCGCGTGTACATTTTTTCGGCCGATACATAATTCTTTGTAATTATTCATTTACGAGATAAATGCAAGAGATTGAAGAAATTACATTTACAAGATTAATAGATTGAAGAAATAAACGAATAAAGAGAAAATCTCTTTTTACACATTTTTTTTAAATTCTAGCTCTTTATCAATAATATATATGCATATAAGAGATGAATAAATGCATCTTTTATATATATATCAATGCAATAGAATTAAATTAGATGTAAAATTTTATATATAAATATATATTAATTTTTAATAGACTTTTATTTAATTATTTCTCGTTTGACACTATTTCGAAATATTATATCAATCATGTTAAAATATTTGTATTTTGTATGATATCCTTAGTCAGCGAAGAGAAAGATGCACATATATATTTTTCATTACTTTCGAACGAAGTGTCTATGCAATTCGCGATGTAACAACGTGACATAATGGGTAATGAAAAGCCGCGCATAAATTTACAAGCGTCATTACCAAGGTACTTTAAGTAGGTATTCTACATCATTACTGTGCTGCTATTTCCATGTCATTCTTACAATTACGTCTTGCAATTTTTATGCATTCAAATTTCATATTCCGTGCATATTTGTGTATGTAATCGAGAGATAATATAAAACTATTATATTAGTTTTTTGTTAAGAATATTAATATAATATAACGACTAAAAAAAATCGCCATTTGATTGATGTTAATATACGTCAATTGAGATATTATTTTGTAGCAGGAAATTGAAAGGAAAATAAATTACGCGTAAACATTTATTTATTACGCAATGACATCAATTGTTTTAATCGCAAATTTTGTGTAGATAATAAAAATTCGAGAATTAAAATTATGTACATAATATAAATTTGAGAATTAAAATTATGTACATAATAAGAAAATTGGAAATAAAAATTGTCCCTTTTTAAAAAAATGCAAAATTGATTCTCGCAAGTATTGTTGCCTTTCTTTCTGGTTTGTCTCGATTCGCACTGTGTATTTGACAGTTGTAAAATAAGAGTAACATCAGAAAGAAATATTTTTATCGGCTCTCAATATTAAGAATATAAATATGATGTTTTTTAATATGATGTTTAAATCGGCCAACAGAGCCAAAACACGAAAAATTAATTATTCGAAACTGTATCTCTTGGTTTGAGATCACTAAGTTCCATATATAAATTAATCTCAAAACTTACATATGGAAAAATAGGCGCGAAAAATATTTGAATTCATATTTTCGAGATATTATCGACTATAAATCGATACTATTCTTTTGTAATTCTTCTCGATATAAGATGGCAGCACGCATCTGTCAAACAGAGCGTACCAATATGGCTGCAGCCATCCTACAGCTGATTTGTGTTGCGGCAGACTCCGAGCAATCAAATCTTGTATATCTGTAAGCATAATTTTATATTAGTTATTTCGAAGTTCAAGAATTAAATGTCTTTGTTGGTGATTATATCCGAAAGATAATTATGCGATAAGGATATCCATGTATGCAAGCAAATATTGATCACATTCGCGCTTCAATTGAAAGTTTACCTCTGTATTTTGTAAATATTTTTGTGCTGGATCCGAAAGAAATCCGGGATATACAGAGCTCATCGAAAGATATTCGCAATGACTGATGCAGAGAAACTCTTCGCTTGTTCCACATCAGGCTGCAATATGGTAAGTGACAATTCTCTTGTGCTGAAAAAAAAAACATTAATTTATTTCAGAAGAAACTATAACAAGCTTATATTCTTCTTATTTCTCATTTACAGAGTTTTACAAATGAAGATCAATTGACATTACATAAAAAGAAGCATGATATGATGCTTAATCTTGGCAACAATTCCAAGAGTGCTGGCTTTGTTGGTAAGACATACTTGACATTTTGATTTATGGATTTTATATAAGGTGAATGTGTTGCGAAATTAATTTATTATGTAGCAGATCAAACTCCAACGCCGACGAGGTTTTTCAAAAATTGTGAGGAGGTTGGTTTATTTCAAGATCTTCAAGTCAATCCTTTCGAGGAGACGTTTCGAAGAGCTGTTGAGGCTGGAAACACTGGCACACTTACGGTACCAGAGGTATAATAAGAAAGAAAACATATTTATTAAACTCAATTGATATAAGAGTTATAAAAATACCCAAGAAAGCTCAATATCGGAGCTCTCAGCCCTGAAGATGCAAACTGCAACGTTTACGAAACGTCGGCATTACGTTGTTAAACCACGCGGCATCCATCCGGAAACCTTTTGCATTGATGAGTTATAAAAATAAATTACATTGTTTATTTTTATAAAAAAAAGCAATAGAAAAATGTATATTATATAGATTTATCTTTTGCAGGCTGGAATTGTAGATGATACACTGCATACACCGCATATTTTTCCTTATATATCAGATGTGTTACCTGCGAGTCAAATCCTTTCTGAAAGCAACGTTGAAGATTGTCCTTCGACTGTATCTCTTAGCGAAAAAAGTACAGAGGAGGCTATTAAATCGAACGAATGTAGGAGTATTAAAATAAGTACAAACGAGACGCAGGAATTGACGAAAGACGCAAATATTACGTCTACAAAAAATAATATTCTCGCACCAAGCATTATTGTCTCGGATACAAATACACCCATAGCGCCTAAACTTTCGCCGACGCAACTTTCATCGCATTTGTAAGAATTTCTTTTTCTTATAAAACATAATTATTTTCAAACATTTTATTGTAAATAACTTTTCGTTTTTGATTCAGCGTATTTTCTCTTTTTCATCTTGTGTAATTTTTATAATTCTAGATGAATTTTTTTTAAGAGAAAATAATTTCAATTTTTACTATATATTTTATATGAATTGTTTAATATATATTTATTTTTTCTTTAATCTAAAAATAGATTTTAAAATACATCGATATTTACATAAATTGCTAAAAATCTTCTTTTGTAAAGGTCTATCAATGGTGAGGAGGTGCAATTGCTACTGAAAACGGCGGATGGTAAATTGATGCAGCTCTCTGCGATGCCAGTGTCTGAGTCTTCCAATGTGGCTAATGTTAACAACGTCAAACAGCAAACCGTCGTTATCAAAACCGAACCAGCTCTGCGATGCGTAGTGAAGTCGGAATCCAAGAAAACTGTAATCTCCAGATTATCCTTAGCGAAAATGGTAATCTACATCAGATTATATCGCGATATAATTTACATTTCAAGATAAATCTCTTATTATAGCGTTAGACTATGCGCGCATTCGCGATTCATTTATAATTCGAATAGTGTGGATGGAATATTCGTCAAATAATCGGATTTCTTTTTATGCTAGCACCAGACTATCGCGAATTATAAATAAATATGAATAGGTATATAGTATGGAGTTAGCTTTAGAAATTACATTACAGAAGCTGAAACAAACCTTATCTAAGAACTCACAGAATCAAAAAGCGGTAGAAGAAAGCGCGAAAATGAACGATATGTCGAAGAAAGAAAATGTCAAGAAAACAGTCGATCAACTTAAGAAGAAAGATATTCTTGAGCGCAATCGTGCCAGTTCTATGCGCGCGCGGGCTAAGAGGAAAGCATGGATCCAAGACCTTCAGAGAACAGTCACTAACGTGAACGAGGCGAATGCAGCCTTGCAAATGGAAGTAAAGGCTCTACGCTCGGAAGTTGCGAAGCTGAAGACCCTTTTGTTGGCGCACAAAGATTGTCCGGTCACAAAAGCGATGCAGAAAGGTAGATTGTTGATTTAATATATTTCTGAATTTGTTTTCTAAAATTATTCACATTAGATTTAACATATGATTTTCCGTGTTTCTTTCTAAAATATTATATTCTTAAATTTTTGAACTGAAGAAAGAAATTTTATTCTCATAATATATCTATATAAAAAGATAGGAGAAAATTTATTTAAATAAACATTTAAGTAATAATGTTTCCAATTTAATCTTAATTTCAATTAATTTTAATCAGGAAGCGGGATATTCCTTGGACCAAAAATAATATCAATTAATAATCCGGACGTGTTGACGATGCCGATATCAGCCAACAGTATTCCTGTGAAACGATCTTACCCGGAGACCCCGAACACGCCGGTGAAGAAATCGACTGTGTCAGTCACGAAGAATCCCATCATCTTTCCGAAGGTTGATTGCGGCGCCGCAAATATCACACTTCCGAATACAACAATCATAAAAAGCTTGCCAACACTGAAGATCGTAGGTGTTAATCAGTTTTTGCCGGAGGCAACGAAGCCCGAAGAAACGAAGCAAATACTTATCGTGCAAAATCAGTCGAGAAAATTATGCGAGGCTAGGCAAGTCATTCAAATTAATCCGAATTACGAGGTGGAACATGCAGCGTCTAAAAGTACGGGAACGTAACTAATCGCTTTCGAAAACGCTCGCGCGTTTGTAATTGATGAAGCTTATCTGCGATTACCGAATATCATATAGTCGAATGAATCGATTCTATGATTTGTGCAATGTATTATATACTATTGCGGATTAGTTAAAATGGCGTTTATGGAAAATTTTAATTTTATACGTTTTTAATATTTCTTTTATTTCCAAAATAAGACAACTGCATAAGTCTTATCAGATTTTGAGCGCCAAATAACTTGGAGGAATTACATAATTTTTTAATGTAAAGATAGACCGATGTAACAGATTTATTCTTAATATAAATATTATAGAGAAAAAAAATATATATACATATATATATATATATGTTATAGAGGAATATAAAGTGATATAGGAATTACCAGATTTTTGTATTATTTATTCTATTTATAATAAAAAAGTTTTTTATATTGAGAACTATGATTTATTTTATTGTCACCTAGATAAATCCTTTACATTTTACACTATATAATGTTATCTATAAGAATGTGGATTTGGAAGTTATTTAAATAATTTATATATATCTATATAGAGACTCCAACAGATTTATATATAAAACGAAATCAATAAATAATCTTATTTGCATCAATTAAATATATATAATTTGACTTTATTTGCGAAAAATAATTTTTTTATTCTTAATTATAAATTTTTATATCAATCTAAAAATGTAAAAATATGAGATCAATTAATAATTAATATAAATGTATGCGATTAATAATAATACTTATTAAGTATTCAATTAACTATAATAAGTATTAGTTCGCGCTGATGCTGTTTTTTCCATGTGCTTTTGATGTTTCACGGAATACTTCAGGGAACAATGGACTCCGATAAAATAGTAGCGCCCTTATTTTAGAATTAAAAATATCGGTAATTATCGACTAATTTTCTAAGAATAATTACAGATATATTTTGAATTTCACATTATAAACCATCTAACTTTTTGCTCTATTATATTTACAACGCACGCATACAAGATCTCTAGGATTAAGATACATTAAAAAAAAGCATTATTATCCTCTAAATTTAAATTAGAAATTTCATATAAAAGTATAATTTGTATTACAATGTGTGCGTGCGCAGTAAAAGGTATAATAGAGCAAAAAATCAATACATATTTATGTTCAAACCTATAATAGTATTAAACATAGCAAAAAGTGACTCCATGTGTGATATGTATACATGGATTTCTAATACATATTGAGCTGGATGATTTATGTGAAATTCAAAATATTTGTAAGTATTCTTAGAAAATAGGTCGGCAACTCGCGATTTTTTAAATTTAAAAATGAGGGCGCTACTATTTTATCGGAGTCCGTTGTTTGCATAGGGATCCCCTTGACGAATGAGGAGCAGAATGTGAAGTATCCAGTCCCACGATGATTCTGTGACCCTCGGGCCCTTATCAGTTCTCCGTCCAGTCGTCTAATAATTCTACACCGGACAGGAGAATGATAAGGGGCTTTGGGCACGCATTGTTTCAAAATACGGGAAATGACCACAGAAGAATAGAGTTCCGCTCTGGAATGTGTAGATCTCCCGGAGGGAAGTTGTCTGGAAAAAATCCAAACACACAAGTTGATTACTTTGTTAATCGAAAAATGACGACGTGGCATGCGAAAACAATTTCAACATTTATTAATAAAGTCGGAAAAAAAAAAAAAAAAAAAAAGAGATTGCACGCATATTTTTTCCATTTTATACAAAAATCTAGAATTCTATTTCATCTATAAAATGCACACGTGTGCGACGAGAATAATAATAGCTCGTTATCTCTCCCCTTATCTAGAGAAACGCATATAGGAACTGGAACGTGTCGCGCGTTAATATTAAATCGCCCTAAAATATCTCCCACTTTACTTTCTACGAATAATCGCTCTCTTCCTTGTAAGAGTATCTCGTATATACATATCTCCATCTGCCAACGTGATTAAATATATTTGACCCGATTGCCGGGGATACACGTGTCTCTCTGTGTGTGTGTGTCTTTCCGCGATCTTCGACGGACCAAATAATCTCGGCATCGCATCGCAGAAGAGAGCGAGGACCACGAATTGTTCGGAGACAATCGAACACCGATAAACGTCACAAAGGGTCCTTTCTCAAATAAATAAGATTTCCGCTCTCCTTTGGCGAGTGAGTCACGTTCGCTGAGCAGAACCTACCGTGTAAAGCAGCATCCTGTGTTAAGACCTGGCCCGTTCGAGTTACTCCGTAAACCTTGTGTCAACCGCTTTCTTATGTCGATAACAGACGCCGATAACGACCAGTCGGGCACAGTACCTCTGTTCTTCCTTGGGCCTCGCCGATGCCTTCCTTAACCTTCGTCCTCGGCGATGAGTATTAATGTGTGACGTTTCTGCGCTGAAAAAAAAATTATATTAATATATTGATTTATTGCAGCACTGTGCTGATTATTAAATCATTTATTTGGAACCAATAATAATATTGATTTGATGGGAAAAATATTTATTTGATATAAGAAGATCCTTTTCAAAACAGATATTTATTTATCTCGAATAAATGATTTATTAGGCAGTATTGAAATAAATATTTATTCGAGTTCAATGAATTTTTTTATACGCGCAAAATATTTTCTTTTACAGAGAGTGCATAACGTAGTTATTAATTTAGAAAATTAATTTACGTAATAATGAAGTGCGTAATTAGAACCTTGAAAATTATGATAATTATATGATATTCGAAGAATTTTCTAAGATTTTCTCTGATTAATATTTACCACAATAAAAAATATTAATATGTACGTAGTAAAATTAATCGAATGTTTTGATGCCTTATTGTGGTAGATGCTAATATTTTTACTATGGTAAATATACATGTATTAATCAGAGAAACTCATAAAATTCTTTCAATATTGTCATGCGTATCATATAATTTTCAGAGTAAATTTGAAGAGAAAATTCTTTCTGTGAAGAAAGAATATATTTTAGAGTTTTAAGGATATCTTTTTTCTTTTCCAGAGATCTGTGTTTCAAAGTAGTAAGTTTCGAATAAAAATTCTAAAAATATTCACACAAAAAAATCCCTTTTCCATAACATTATCGTTGCTTTATAGTACGTTTATTCCAAGTTAAACAGTTCATTCTTATCAGTTCTCCGTAATACTCGAGCGTATATATACACAGCGCATTTCTCTACAAGTATTCCTATTCTCTTTTAAGTGCAGATGGAGAAAAGGCGCGGTTTAAATAGATTACCAATTAAAATAAGCACGTGCCTGAACAAAGACACGTCGCTTTTGTGTACGTCGAAGTTTCACGTTTCGGCCCTCGTTTACGCTGAAACTTTACGTGGCATCCAGTGTTGTGCTTAGATTTTAAAATTAGCTTATATTTTCTAAATTGCTTATGTAAACATAGTTATAAAAAAAGTATAAATTATAAAAGGGATATAAAAATATATTCATAATTTTATTCGTTCATATATGCTATGACCATCTTCTATATAAATAAATATTTAAATCTCAATATGAGTTAGTTGTAAGAACCAGGGCGCAGTTAATAAAGCGCTATTATTATAATTAAATTACAACGTTTTAATTAACGTAAATGATATAAAACTATGAAGACACCAGATGTTTTAATTAACGTAAATATTACATGTGAAGTACACAATATACTTTGCGAACGTTTCGGCTCTTCTTCTGAGCCTTCTTCAGCGCATAAAATTCATACAGTAATAATATTGAGCAGAGAAAGCGCAGGATGGTAATATTCAAGCCGCGAAAACATTTTTGAGATTTAAATATCTACAGGGTGTCCCAGAATTACCGTATCACACATTAATGGGAGATTCTTGAGGCGATTTGGAGATGATTTTTCCTCAGCGAAAATGTCGAGAAAGATCACCATTTTTTTAATGTTCCCAATTTTTGAAATCATGTATCTTTGTAACTAACAATAAGCCTTAAATTAAAATTCTATTAAAGTAAACTTTACCTGAAATTAACTAAAAAATGCAGTTTTGTGTAATAATTTATTTTTACAAGGCTTAGTTTACAAATTTTATTTTCAATCATTTATAACTCGAAAAATATTGATGCCTGGACATTTTCGTTGAGGAAAAATCGCCTCAGAAATCTCCCATTAACGTGTAATACGGTAATTCTGGGACACCCTGTATATTGAAAAATTAAAAGAGCCGAAAGATTGTACTCGATCATATTATTTTTATGAATCATCTATATGTAATTTTATCTAGATAACAGCAAACGCCGCAGTGGCACTGATAATAATCGATCAGTCGCAGATCGATTAAACAGTCGAGAGTTCAAAGCTATCGCGTTCGATCATTCGAGGAATCTTGGCGTCGATTCGTCTTCTCAATCGCCGCTTGTACGGAAATAGCATCGAGACAGAGAGAGAGAGAGCAGGTGCCTGATCTTACGGCCCTGCTCTGTTTTGAGATCTCGTTGAACCGCGTGGCTATTATACAACACGCATGATCTCCCAACCTTGGATCGAGAGAACCTTCTCTCTCGGTCTCGATCGTCGCGAACGCACAATAAAGAGTCGAGACACTTTAGCACGAGTTTTACGTAATCTTAGATTATTACAGCTCTCGTGCAATTTTAATTTTTTTTTCAGTATATTATATAGTTAATAGTGCTCAAAATTGAGCAAGCCGAAATTTTAATTAGAATTTCAACAGCGATAATTTATTTAAGTACTGTGAATCTCATTTAAAACATATATAATAATCGTTTTGATATATTGTATTGTAGATAAAAAAGTTGATAAGCAAAAAGACGCGAGTGAAAAATGTCTTAATTTTGAGTAATATTTGTTGGTTTGATAATTAAACGTTTCGATCTCTCTCACTTTAATTTAAAACGCAAATAGAAGGAAAATAAAAATAAAAATATGAAACAATTTATACAAGCGCAAATCTAAAATTAATACATTACGTTGAGTGTGACCGAGATAAAAATTATAACATGATTAATTTCATGCTGCGCGATATAAATGAAGATTGCAATATTTGTTGGTTTGTAGAAATAGAAATACAAAAAGAATATGAAATAAAATTCATAAGAAAAGTGCAAGTCTAAAATTAATACATTACATTGAGTGTGAACGAGATAAAAATTATAACAACTAATTTCACGAAGCGCGATATAAATGAAGATGCAATATCTGTTGGTTTGACAATTAAACGTTTCGAGCTTTCACTTTGACATAAAACAGAAATAGAAATACAAAAAAATGAAATAAAATTCATAAGAAAAGTGCAAGTCTAAAATTAATACAATTACATTAAGTGTAAATGAGATAAAAATGATAACATAATTAATTTCATGCTGCGTGATATAAATGAAGATGCTCTATATACATTTTCTCTTAAAATTTACCCTGAAAATCATGATAATCATGAAACAATAAAAGAATTTCACAAGAGTTTCTCTGATTAAATATTTACCACAATAAAAAATATTAATAGTAAAATTTATTTTATAAAATAACTAAAATTAATCGAACATATTTTATATCTTATTATGATATTAATATTTTTTATTGTCCCACGATCGCCATAATTTTCAGAATAAAGTCTATATAAGAGAAAATTCTCTGTGTATAATTTTGATTTGAATTATTAAAATAACTTCGCGGTACGTGTATCCTTGTTTAATATTATATACCTTCTCTATCTCTCTCTCATGTTATACATTAATCTTAACTATGGAGAAATGCCTGTTCTTGCGTTGGTGTAAACCCGCTTGAATGTATTCATATTAAATGTACGCGCCTAGAGAGAGCTCGCGTTAAATATTTAAAGATCTAATTCGTCGACTAACGAATTAACCGTGTACACACACAGCCAGGTGTGTATAGTATATACGCTGACTGTGTATAGTTTTGCAACCGTATCCATCCCTCCTCGCCATAATAAGCAGACGAAAATAGCTCGCGAATAACGCAAAACTCGCGAATATGAAAATTCGCTTGAATCAAAAATAATGGCTCGGGGTCGCAAGAGAATATAAATTAACCGCGCTCAATTTTGCGATTCGACGACCCTATCTGTGTATCAAGATATCGTCTTAGGATATATATTTCTTGTATACAATTTCGCGTTATCCCGCGTATATATCGTGGGGCGAGATTTGCTCCGAAATTCGCGTCTTAAATTCTTGTTAGCGGAGTTCCTCTTCGGCTTCGCCGCGCGGATTCCATTTACTGATTGGATATGGCATCAGTTATTCATCGCCGCCACTCGAAGGAGGAAGGAGAGAGAGAGAGAGCACGTGCGGCCGTTATAAATACGGCGGATTTCCCGTCGGTATGCTACTGCATTCGGAAATTCTCGACGGGCCTCCACCTTCCTTTCCAGCTTCTCTCTCTTCCCATTACATCGCTCTCGCGTTACGTTCATGTTTGATCGTCGCGCTATCAATAAAAAAACAGGTCTCCTCCTCCTCACACGTGTAATTCTTTCTCGTATGTATGCATGGATATATATCCGCAAGAGAGGGCATTTGCCTTGGAATCAATGAAAAATTAAGCATTTACTCTCCTTTTGAATAAACACTAAAATTTATTTGCATATTTAATATGAAAAATTTTAAAAATTTTTTTAAAAGATAAAAAATAAATATAATTATGCTCCCTCTGAAAAGTTTGATCGTCGCGCTATCAATAAAAAAACAGGTCCCCTTCTTGTACGTGTAATTCTTTCTGAATCAGTGAAAAAATTAAGCATTTGCTCTATTTTTGAATACACTAAAATTTATTTGAATATTTAATATAAAATAAAGAAAATAAAATAACAAAAAAAAAATGTTTCAAATTAAGAAAAAAAATTAATTGTGCCCCCTTTTAAAAAAAATTCTGCCCATGTATGTATATACAAGAAAGAGAGAGGCAAGATTTGTTTCGGAAGAAATGTATTCTTCTCACGCTAAGGATGAAGAAAAGTTGCGTAAAATAACTAATACATCGACCTTTACTACGGAACATCAAAATTCCCCAATGGTTCGCCTCTTCCCCTTTGCTTCCTCCTAGACTTTCTAGACATCAAAAATTCCGACATCGTAAATTCGCGATAGTTTATAGGAGAACGAGCGAGATCTCGTAAAAAAAATATATATATGTATATACACGAAGAGCGACGATTCAATATTGAATTTTCCTGATCGTGCGAGACGGAAATAATTAAATCGATATTTAATTTACGATTTTTTTTCTGACACGATTTTTGCCCGGTTTACGTCATCTCTGATCTGGAAAAGCGGTAGGTTAACGGAGAGGAGCATCGTGTAATCGCTTGAAACGTCAGACGGAATGATAGATAAGGACTTGCAGATCGAAATAGATACGCTTGAAGCGGAAGAAGCGATCGGAAAAGAGGAACGAAGCCTTGGAACGTGTTTATGGTCTTCAAAAAACGGCAATGAAACACTTTCACGAGGCCAATATGACGTAAGATAAAGCGTACGATTTTACATTTCTGAGAGGGATTAATATGCGGTCCGTTAACCTTGAAGAGTGAGAGAATGAGATATTTGCATCCTTCAGCTTTTTTTATATCTGACAGAGCATTGTCACTGACATTTTTATCGCGGTTTCCTCAGCAAATTTCTTAGTAAATGTGCTATTTCTGACTAATTGAGAACAGAAGTCTCGTGTGTAAATTGAAACGTCATTGGAAAAAATCTATACAAGGGTGTCTACTCAAAAATCTTGTAAAATATTCCAGATATTCGTTTAAAATTTCAGGTAAACTAAGAAAAAAAATTTCTTTATTGTACACATTTTCTAATGTTTTCTATTCATACGACTGCAAAATTATTAGGAACGCAGTTTTTCTAACATTTAATATTAATTTATTAATTGTAGAATTAATTTTTTTAGACAATAATAAAGTACGATATATCATATCTAAAAATAAAAATAATTTATTATAAACGTCTTAAGGAATATTAATTTATTTATTAAATAAGGAGTACTATTTGTTTAAATATTGCCTCTTAAAAAATTGAACAATTTTCTTTGAAATTTATATATAAGATCTTGATCTACTAAAACTAGATCGTCAATAAAAAAAATTCCATGAAATTTTAATAAAAACTTTAAATGCATTAAACTGCAAATGCAAAACTTATTGCAAAGACATGTTAGATGTATATTTCTCAAATGCCGAGAATAAGAGTAGAATTATCTTTCAAAAAAATTTTCCGAATCGTAATCAAATTTCAGAGAAATCCGATTTTTCCAGATAGAAGAAAATTTCCTGAAAATACTAGATTTTTCTCGGAAATGCATCCTGTTGTATATACGCTTCCGAGAGATACGAATTATTATCTCTTGCATCATCATTTTTTCCACGTGCTCGCGGAGATTATTCAATTACGCCTTCGCTTTTCGCGGCCGAATAAAAAATAGTTAAATCTAGGAGCACAAAGAGTTTCGGGGAAAACGAAACGAGCGAGAAAGAGAGAGACTCGATGGCCGAGAAATGATCAGGGATGCTGACGTCGGATCGGCGTCGCTAGTTAGTCACATGGGTGCGCGCGACTAAACGACACAACGGCGAGAAACACACAGGGGGGCGGTTTGTGCCGATCGATCTGTTCGCTGCCGAAAATACAGACACACGTACATACACACCCATACACAGAGAGCCGCGGGGCTGCGCGATACAAAACGCGGAAACTGCACGCACGCACCAAAGAGGTCCAGCTGCGGCGGCGCTCGAGGGAGAGAATGCGCGGCGGATCAGAGAGAAAGGGAAAAAGAGGAAGGGATACAGACGGCAGGAGGCTGCTCTCGCGGAAATTGTAACCGCGCGACGATTTCGGGGTCGAGACCTCGTTCGCCGAATCACCGTAAACACGCGCGAACGAGCCGATGACGCGTGCGATGACCCGCGAATGATCATCGATAAAGATAGCGGAATAACGAAACTGTTTCCTCCATTTTTTTTCTTTACGAACTCTCCTTATTGCCGCCACGCGCGGAAGTAAACGAAGTTATTAAAGGTCAAGAGTCGGATATATTTTTTCATCTCTGCGTTCTTGATATTTTTTTCACTCGTTCATTTATTATCATTTAAATGTTTAGTATGAAATTTTATATGCGAGAGATTTGCGTGGAGAATTTTTAGCGTGCGATTTTGCGATGAATGATTTTTTTTATGGCAAAGTCGATCGGGAAAAATACAGAGAGAGAGAAATATGAGCTGTCGTAAAACAAGAGATCCGCTGAATATTGATACTCTCGCGCGCGTCGCGTAACAAAGAGAGAACTTCTCACAAGTGCAACACGACTCTGTACCACGCTCGTATTCTCGTCTAATCGGAAGCTCAAGGTTATACCCACGAATCATTTTTTTCAATATCAGCCCCGAGCTATTATTCAGATATCCGAGAAAGATAGAGATTCCATGATAAAACGGATAATCGACGATAAGCTGCAGAGATAATTTCCGACGAGTTTCAAAGTTCTACTTACATGATTACGATATGACTTGCGCGATATCGGACACTCCCAATTCTTGAAGAGCACGAGAACTTCCGATCATCAGGGCACTCGTGACACAACCGACAATTTCCCGACGCACTTATATCGCCTAACAGCACAACATATCTGAAAGATATTCAAAGGATATTCAGAGGATATCCATAGGACATTCGAACATTCTCAGGATGTTCTCTGAAGAGCCGCGTAAAAGTCAAAATGCATATATAATCGATAGCTTAACGAATGATTAGAAAGAAATAAACTCACTATAAAATCCCGATCGAGGTCGCACACAGATTGAAACAATCAGCGTTGAAAACTCGGCGCGAGGCGAGATCTACATATATCACGGCGATATTTGCAGCACACAGACTCCCGGTATATCGTCGAGAGAGGCAGGCAACGACTGCTGATGCAACGCACGCGCACGATTGACGGCGGCCGACTGACTCGACTCTCTCTCTCTCTCACTGCGTCGATCCCTCTCCACGCGCGGCGGCGAGAACGATTCCGCTCCGCGGAGCGGGCGTGACCTCCACGGTGCACGTCTCGCGCGCGACTGAGCGGCCGAATCGGCGCGCCTCGGCGAGCCTCGGTCGTTTTCGCGGCGGCGCGCGGCGACGAAGGGGACGCGAGCGCTCTCGTCGCAGTCGTCGCGTCTCCGTGAGGCGCGAAGCGTCTCTGTCTCTCTCTGTCTTTGCTTTTACCCTTGTTCCCGCTTCTCTCGCTCGCACTGACAGGTCGGCACCGTTCGGAGGAGGGGGGATGAATAGAAGTGGCTTCGACGAAGGGTGAGGGAGCGCACAACCGCGCCAAGAATCTTCAGGATCATGGTAAATACGAAGAAAGGAGGTTCTGTGGGACTTTCAAGGTTTAAACACAGGGCGAAGAGGGTATATAACACCACCATCGGTTTTCCCTAGCCCTCGGCAGGCATCCCGCAGTTTGCGGGCGAGTGAAATTTAAGCGATGACGAAGTTCGAGCCTGTTTTACGAGTCTGTGGAAAGAGTACGAGGCAAGGATTTTTCTATCGAACGATATATGCACGAAAGCATTTTAGGAATTCACGATTTTTTTTCTATGGTTTATATTTTGAGAATAAGATTTAGTATCGTCACTAACGAAGAGATTTTTTTGAAGGATGTAATTAATATTAATAGATGATGCAAAATAATCTAAAATATAATAATATTGCAACTATTATTTGAGAATCATATTTAGTATCATCACTAACGAAGAGATTTTTTTGAGGGGTATACTTATTAATAGATGATGCAAAATAATCTAAAATATAATCTTGCAATTATTATTATTTGAGAATAAGATTCAGTATCATCAGTAACGAAAAAACTTCTGAATAAAATTATTAATAGATGCAAAAAATCACATATAAAAATGATAATGTTTCAATTATTAATACGCAATATAGGCGAGTGATAAAAATTAATGTCTTACGCGAAATAGAATCCGTTGAAGGAACATTTCCCTGACGTCGAGGTGCGAAAATTGCACCATCTGATTCTCTCTCCGGGGAGCGACTACCTTCAACCACTCCGTGATGCTTAAATTAGTGGCTAAATTAGAAATCGCCCTGGCGTCTCCGCGAAACGAGAGACCGCGCGCTAATGCGGTCAACTAAAGTAAAAAGCTAACTGAAGGAGTGGTAAGTAGACACTAACACTTTCGGGCGAGCGACTCGATATCGGCGGGAATGGTCTCTCTTTCTCTCTCGCTTCTCGGCTTTAGCCCCGAATTAATTCCTCGGGGGTGGCCGGGCTCCCTCCATTACCGCCGCTGAAACGAGCGGCAGTAAAGTGTTCCGCCTTAAAAAGAATACGTGTACCTTCATCCTGACGCCTGTAGTAACGCTTTTCTCCTCTTTCCTTTTTCCTCCGGTATGCCTCCTCTTGTCTCGACTCCACGAGATACTGTTCGAGTTCCTTGGAACATTTCAAGAAAAGTCCAGGATTTCCTCCGGGGCTCTCGATGCTTGGCTTCTCCTGCATCAGAAAGTTACATCGACCATTGTTTTTACTTATTGTCTTAGTTAAAGCGGCAGAAGAATCAATCGTTCTTTCGCAGAAAAAAAAAACGTACCGCGCATTTACAGATGCAGGGTGTCTAGTAAAGAAAATAAAATTTAAAGACACCCTGAGATGTTAAATAATGAATAGTGAAAAATATTTCACTTCGTATAAGAAATTGTCTGAAAAGAACGTGCATTTTTAACTAAAACATTTATAATATATTGCCGAACATTATTCGTTCAAATTTCTGTCACAATTCGCTTATTTGAATTTTGTATTATATGAATATTTAGGTTCGAACAAACAAGGGAGCGTCTTCCTCTCTGTGTCTCGTTGACGTTGTAGCGAAGCGTTAATCTAGTTTTCCGAAGCATAACTGCTTCGAGACGAATCAGGCTAGTGGAATTTACAAAGTTTTGTTAGGTCAGGTACGTGTCGCGCAGTTGGTCGGCTCGGCCTTCAATTCCGAAAAGGACCGACGAAGGAAGTCGCCAGTCTGGGGCTATATACGGCACAAAGGCATTTTTTCAAGAGAATTCTTTTGGTTTGAACGGCTAGACATTGGACCCAGGTCGAACTATTCTCTGTTCGTAAGGAAAGGAAAAAACTAATTATGCTTCGTACTGGCGACCTTCGTCGTTATTATGGCAGCTGGTTATGTGTGGCATCCGGTTAAAATCGAAGAAGAAATATTTTTGTGAATCATCCTTGGAAGGTATCGAGTTTTCCGACTCTCCAAAAAATGTGGATTTTGTAGATGAACCACAGTTGTCTCTTTCAGGGTGTTCAGCAGACCCAATGAAAAGATTCCTTGACTTTTTCAGATTTTCTCAGACCAGAAATTTATTTTTCCTCTAACTTTTTAGTATATGGTAAATCATGAAATCCTTGAGATATTTTTGTGAACAATGAAAAGGTTTGGAAGTTAAAACAAAAATTTCAAACAATTATACAATCTGTATTATGTACGATAATCGAAACATGTCACTATAAACTATTTAAATAATCACTTTTTTATTTATATTATATCAAATTTTTTTAGTTTTGTCTCCATCAAACACATTGAAATAAAATATAACGCGACAATAAAAATACAAATTAGAAAACACGTTGTAGATGAATCGATTTTTAACATAGAAAATTATCGTGCTATAATAAAAGTTTATATTTATTTAATAAAAAATTTCAAATTATTGAGACAAATGTAGAATAATGTGAAAAATCCAAATAAATAGTAAAATTTTCTGACTTTTCTCTGACAAAGGAAGATTTCTAGATTAATAAAATTTCCTTACAATATACCCGCGGTTTTCCAGATTTCCCTGACTGCTAGACGCCCTGTCTGTGTTCTTTATCTTTCATTCCTCACATTTTTAGATCTAGGTACGAAAATAAAAAATGCATTGACAGGAGGAGTTGAAGAAATACAGAAAATCTTCTTCGCGATTTCTAATACTCTCGACGAAAAATGATAACGTCGAGAATGTGACACCCCGGCGGATGATTCTCTGTCGCGTCAAGTCTTCAATTTATTACCTCGTATTATCCGATGTCGTATTGAATATTCGATGCACGAGTGATCTCGGTGGATGAAGAAAGAGAGCACCGGGCGGCGGATGTTCAGCGGGCAAAGAGATCGATACGAGCCAGCAGCGAGATACCCGCGAGTTCTATATAATCGTAGAAGAGAGAGAGAGAGGGCAAGAAAAAGAGGAATGAGCAGTGTGTAGAGTAGTCGCTCGCGCAAGCCGAGATAAAAGCGTTTACGGGGAAGTAATGGGGATGGTTCGCCGACTGGGGCGTGGTGGGTACCATCATACCGCGCTATATATGAGGGTCAAGGTTAACGCGAGAATCCCATATGCCGACACGGTGCTTGATGCTACGCGCGTACCAAGCGCTCCTCCTTTATTTACAGCAAGAGGAATGGAAAGTTGCGAGGTGTCCTCTCGCGTCTATACAAAATCGGGGGATTTTCTTCGGGTTTTCATAGTATAATTCATCGCGATAGTAATCCTTTAATATCGTGTTTCATTTCACATTTTTGCTGGAATAATCATTTTAAAATTAATAAACATTCATTATATTTTTATTTATAACTAATATGCTGAAGCGATGTCTGTAATTTTAAATTAATTTTAAATTTTTGCTGAAATAATAATTTAAAAATAAATAAAAAAGTTTTTTTTTAATTAATTATATTTATCTTCACAATTAATTGTTGATCGCCGGTGATAAATTTTGACAAATAATAAGATGCAATTTAATTATATTTATATTTTTATGTATAGCTAATATGCTGAAGTGATTTCTCCGAATTTTGTAGAATTCGTCACGATATTTTCTATATCTTTTCATGATGATGTCTGTAATTTTAAATTAATTAAAACAATTTTTTGTAATTTTAAATTAATTTTAAATTTTTGTTGAAATGATAATTTAAAATAATGCAAATTTTTTGAAAAATTAATTAGCTAATTATAATACAGTAATATGCTGAAGTGGTTTGTACAACAATGAATAATTACTGACTCGCTTACTTTATAACTTCAACTGAGATATAAATATGATAAAAAAGATGAAGCATATACTTATTACGCGCAAATTGGAGGATAAAGCACGTTTATGGTGAGCAATACGGAAAAGGGGAGGAAGGATGATTCAGCTCCGATAAAGAAAGTTTGCGATTGTTACGTGGGTCAAGGCAGATTCACATATTAGCTCAATTTGCGTGTGTGCGACTTTTCCTCGTTTTCACGACGAACAGTTAAAATTTTCCAGAAAAGCGGTCAATTAATTTTCACGAGAACTCTCGTGCAAACTGCATTTTCCAGACAGAAATATTTTTTTAAATTTAAATTTCAACGATTACAATACGATGATGTTAAAAGTGCAAACAACGGAGAGATTCTTCTCATTGCATTGAAAAAAAAAAAAAAAAAAGAAAAATAAGAAAATCGCGGGAGAGCGGCTATACCTTCTTTTATTCGCGCCTTTTAAGAAGAAAATCTTGTTGTATGACATGCGTGTACGCGACAGGCACTATCTATGCTCTTTGTAAGAATTCCTGGAGCTGCACTTAAGGGACCTATCTATGTTCTTGCTTGACAGGTTCTTTCTTTCGTTAACGGATATTTATGGAAATAGCGTTACGCGAGAGCGTCATCTCGACGCAATATCGATGAAAATACATATCTGTTTTTTTTTTTACAACCTTTATATAATCAGACAACTCTATATATCGCATAAAACTTCGTTCTTGCGTCACTTTGATTTCTCGATGTACTGATCAATAGAATTCGTTAAAAAAAAAACACAATAGTATACCTGCTTAATATTGATGATATACAGAAGATGAATACAGAAATGTGCAGACTTTGGTATCCAAATTAAACTTTAATGCGCACTATTGGAGAATATTCCGTCTTATTTCCGATTTTAACGCGCGATGTCATCTCTTCGACGTCCGAGGTGAAACTGAGCGTCCGTCGACAGCCTCGTCGAGTTTTAAGAATGCTGAGTAAACGTCCCTATTGTTCGAATTCGAGCATCGGTCGATCTTTGTAAACCGAATGTGTTTTTCATTCCATTTGCCGCGTGTAATGCCAATGTAAACTTTGGGTCTGACAAAAAAAATATGACAATAGACGAAGATCGTCTTATTTCAAAACAGTTCGCCGAAAATATGGAAGACATCTTCTAGGTCGTAAATTAATTCCGAGAGAGAGAGAGAGAGAGAGAGAGAGAGAGAGAGAGAGAGAGAGAAGTTAAATTCACACATCTGCGTCTCTCGAATAGCGAAAATGTGGCGTATCGATTATATGTATTGTTATAAATAGAGTTTTCATCGAATTTGTCGAAATCGAAAGTACGTCGGAATTAGATCACCGATTCGTTTGTAACGCTAATTAAATGCAAATAGGATTAATCACGTTTGAATGAACGATATCGGACACAGTCCGCCGGATGATTCAATCAAGGATGACTTCCCACACACGTACACATGGTTGATAATTTATACTAAAACACGAGAAAAAAATCGATAAATTGTCTACTGTGTATAAGAAAAAAAAAAAAAAAAAATTCTGCACCAAGTAAAAATCGTCGTCGCGCCAGAGAACAGATACAATCTCCGATCTTATAGTAACCGCAACCCAACCCAATATCTCTCTCTCTCTCTCTCGGGTGGTCTCCACCGGGAATTCGAGTTTTGCGGTAAATAGCTCGCAGATTTGGTCCCGCGATACCTGCGACGATGTCGCCACGCGCTGATTGCCGCAAGAACTCGCGGAGAATAATAGCGATTTCCCAGGTCGACGCGGAATTCCTTAATGAGTCTCTCCTGAGCCGAAGGACGAGACTGCGAGTCATCGCGACGAGGAAGAAAAGAAAAAACGAAACTATACGGCGGATAGTCGATGATAGAAATTAGGACGCTGCAAAAGAGCTAGATTATTGTCTCTCTTTTATCCGTTTCAATTCAATTAGCTTGCTAATGTATAAGTATTGTCGATTAATTCGTAATAAGTCGTAATGAAAAATTTTCAACGAAACGAATTAGCTATTAATTAGAATAATCGAAATAAAATATTGAAATGATAGAAATTACAGCTCGTTCATTAAAATTGAAGACAGTTTGTACGAGACCTCGTTAGACTTTTCACGTCACTGTTTCTTTTCCCTAAAATAAAATATATTTCACATAACATTTTCTAAAAAAGAAAATGAGAAAAGTTGAATTTCTATTTATACATAAATGTAATTTACGAGACGCGCGCAAATAATTAATTCATAAGTTGTAATTAAAAATTTCTAACAAGGTTAATTATCTGTAATTAAAATAATCGAAATAAAATATTGAAAACATTAATAAAAAAACGAACATTTTAAAAAATATTTTTAAAATATTTTTACGATAGAGAGAAATTATTCCTCGTTGATTAAAATTAAAGAGAGCTTGTACGAGATATCGT